TCAGATAGCGCGGGCTCCCCCTCTGGGCTGCTGCGGTATTACACGGAGATCTCAGATAGCGCGGGCTCCCCCTCTGGGCTGCTGCGGTATTACACGGAGATCTCAGATAGTGCGGGCTCCCCCTCTGGGCTGCTGCGGTATTACATGGACATCTCAGAGAGCGGGCTCCCCCTCTGGGCTGCTGCGGTATTACATGGAGATCTCAGATAGCGCGGGCTCCCCCTCTGGGCTGCTGCGGTATTACACGGAGATCTCAGATAGCGCGGGCTCCCCCTCTGGGCTGCTGCGGTATTACACGGAGATCTCAGATAGCGCGGGCTCCCCCTCTGGGCTGCTGCGGTATTACACGGAGATCTCAGATAGCGCGGGCTCCCCCTCTGGGCTGCTGCCGTATTACATGGAGATCTGAGATAGCGCAGGCTCCCCCTCTGAGCTGCAGCGGTATTACATGTAGATCTCAGATAGCGCGGGCTCCCCCTCTGGGCTGCTGCGGTATTACACGGAGATCTCAGATAGCGCGGGCTCCCCCTCTGGGCTGCTCCGGTATTACATGGAGATCTCAGATAGCGCAGGCTCCCCCTCTGGGCTGCTGCGGTATTACATGGAGATCTCAGGGAGCGCGGGAATAATGCTGCCCTGCAGTGTGTGGAATTCATATTCTAGATACAGGATAATGCTGCCCTGCAGTATGTGGAATTCATATTCTAGATACAGGAATAATGCTGGCCTGCAGTATGTGGAATTCATATTCTAGATACAGGATAATGCTGCCCTGCAGTATGCGGAATTCACATTCTAGATACAGGATAATGCTGCCCTGCAGTATGTGGAATACATATTTTAGATACAGGATAATGCTGCCCTGCAGTATGCGGAATTCACATTCTAGATACAGGAATATTGCTGCCAGCAGTATGCGGAATTCATGTTCCAAATACATCAATAACGCTGCCCTACAGTATGCGGAATTCGTATTCTAGATACAGAAATAATGCTACCAGCAGTATGTGGAATGCATATTTTAGATACAGGAATAACGCTGGCCTGCAGTATGCGGATTTCAATTCTACAACCAGGAATAACGCTTCCCTGTAGTATGTGGAATTCATATTCTAGATACAGGATAATGCTGCCCTGCATTATGTGGAATTCATATTCTAGATACAGGATAATGCTGCCCTGCAGTGTGTGGAATTCATATTCTAGATACAGGATAATGCTGCCCTGCAGTATGTGGAATTCATATTCTAGATACAGGAATAATGCTGGCCTGCAGTATGTGGAATTCATATTCTAGATACAGGATAATGCTGCCCTGCAGTATGCGGAATTCACATTCTAGATACAGGATAATGCTGCCCTGCAGTATGTGGAATACATATTTTAGATACAGGATAATGCTGCCCTGCAGTATGCGGAATTCACATTCTAGATACAGGAATATTGCTGCCAGCAGTATGCGGAATTCATTTTCCAAATACATCAATAACGCTGCCCTACAGTATGCGGAATTCGTATTCTAGATGCAGAAATAATGCTACCAGCAGTATGTGGAATGCATATTTTAGATACAGGAATAACGCTGGCCTGCAGTATGCGGATTTCAATTCTACAACCAGGAATAACGCTTCCCTGTAGTATGTGGAATTCATATTCTAGATACAGGATAATGCTGCCCTGCAGTATGTGGAATTCATATTCTAGATACAGGATAATGCTGCCCTGCAGTGTGTGGAATTCATATTCTAGATACAGGATAATGCTGCCCTGCAGTATGTGGAATTCATATTCTAGATACAGGAATAATGCTGGCCTGCATTATGTGGAATTCATATTCTAGATACAGGATAATGCTGCCCTGCAGTGTGTGGAATTCATATTCTAGATACAGGATAATGCTGCCCTGCAGTATGTGGAATTCATATTCTAGATACAGGAATAATCCTGCCCTGCAGTATGTGGAATTCATATTCTAGATACAGGATAATGCTGCCCTGCAGTATGTGGAATTCATATTCTAGATACCGGATAATGCTTCCAGCAGCAAGCGGAATTCATATTCTAGATAGAGGACTAACTGCCCTGCAGTAGGTGGAATTCTTATTTTACAAACTGGAATAATGTTACCCTGCAGTATGCAGAATTTAAATGCAGTCCAACAGTATGCATAATTCGCATGCTGTTTTAAGAAGAATGCAGTCCAACAGTATGCGGAATTCACATGCTGTTGTAAGAAGAATGCAGTCCTGCAGTATGTGGAATTCACATTCTAGCTATAGGATAATGCTGCCCTGCAGTATGTGGAATTCACATTCTAGATACAGGATAATGCTGCCCTGCAGTAAGTGGAATTCACATTCTAGATACAGGATAATGCTGCCCTGCAGTATGCGGAATTCACATTCTTGATACAGGATAATGCTGCCCTGCAGTATTTGGAATACATATTCTAGATACAGGATAATGCTGCCCTGCACTATGCGGAATTCACATTCTAGATACAGGAATATTGCTGCCAGCAGTATGCGGAATTCATGTTCCAAATACATCAATAACGCTGCCCTGCAGTATGCGGAATTCGTATTCTAGATACAGAAATAATGCTACCAGCAGTATGTGGAATGCATATTTTAGATACAGGAATAACGCTGGCCTGCAGTATGTGGATTTCAATTCTACAACCAGGAATAACGCTTCCCTGCAGTATGTGGAATTCATATTCTAGATACAGGATAATGCTGCCCTGCGGTATGTGGAATTCATATTCTAGATACAGGATAATGCTGCCCTGCAGTGTGTGGAATTCATATTCTAGATACAGGATAATGCTGCCCTGCAGTATGTGGAATTCAAATTCTAGATACAGGATAATGCTGCCCTGCAGTATGCGGAATTCACATTCTAGATACAGGATAATGCTGCCCTGCAGTATGTGGAATACATATTCTAGAAACAGGATAATGCTGCCCTGCAGTATGCGGAATTCACATTCTAGATACAGGAATATTGCTGCCAGCAGCATGCGGAATTCATGTTCCAAATACATCAATAACGCTGCCCTCCAGTATGCGGAATTCGTATTCTAGATACAGAAATAATGCTGCCAGCAGTATGTGGAATTCATATTCTAGATACAGGATAATGCTGGCCTGCAGTATGCGGAATTCATATTCTAGATACAGGATAATGCTGGCCTGCAGTATGCGGAATTCATATTCTAGATCCAGGATAATGCTGCCAGCAGTATGTGGAATTCATAGTCTAGATACAGGATAATGCTGGCCTGCGGTATGCGGAATTCATATTCTAGATCCAGGATAATGCTGCCAGCAGTATGTGGAATTCATATTCTAGATACAGGAATAATGCTAGGCTGCAGTATGCGGAATTCATATTCTAGATACAGGAATAATGCTGCCTGCAGTATGCGGAATTCATATTCTAGATCCAGGAATAATGCTGCCTGCAGTATGCGGAATTCATATTCTAGATACAGGAATAATGCTGCCTGCCTTATGCGGAATTCATATTCTAGATACAGGAATAATGCTGCCTGCCGTATGCGGAATTCATATTCTAGATACAGGAATAATGCTGCCTGCAGTATGCGGAATTCATATTCTAGATACAGGAATAATGCTGCCTGCCGTATGCGGAATTCATATTCTAGATACAGGAATAATGCTGCCTGCAGTATGCGGAATTCGTATTCTAGATACAGGAATAATGCTGCCTGCCGTATGCGGAATTCATATTCTAGATACAGGAATAATGCTGGCCTGCAGTATGTGGAATTCATATTCTAGATACAGGAATAATGCTGCCCTGCAGTATGTGGAATTCATATTCTAGATACAGGAATAATGCTGGCCTGCAGTATGTGGAATTCATATTCTAGATACAGGATAATGCTGGCCTGCAGTATGTGGAATTCATATTCTAGATACAGGATAATGCTGGCCTGCAGTATGTGGAATTCAATGGAGATTGGAATCTCTCTGTGGAGATAACGTCTGTGGATGTAAAATACGACTCATAACGCGGTATTTTGAGAAAGAGAGAGATGGACTCGTAGAAGAAAGCCCCCAAATGAATACTGTATCTAGTAAATACCTAAATGTCATTGTGTTATCCAGTTCCGGTAGGACCAGTATTTGGCTCTTTGGAATGAACTTCAGAAGGCCGGGAGTTCAAAGTGAACTTTATTATTTTAGAACAAAATAACCAATTTGGAGAATAAATCTTAAAGTAAACTTTCCGTTTGGCTATTTATTCCGACAATGTGGAACTGAAATCCGAATTCAGGTTAACATAGCCGAGCCGTGACTTTCCTCTAACACGGCGTGGATTTATCACATTAACTCGTGCCGCGATGTCATAACAAAACAGACACATCAATGCTGCTACAAACAGAATATTAAACGTGTGGCGTAACAGCTTGGGCATCGAGGTAGAAATCTGACCGCCATCTATTTGTAAAGAATGGTCTTCTTTTGCACCTTTGGGAATTGCTTCAAATTGGGTTTTTTAATTTTCTTTTTGATCGACAGCAGGAACAGAGATGCGAGAAAGGCTGAACTTGGATAAATTGAATCCATTGTGTGTAACTGAGGCTGCCTTTACTTTCTGTTCCTGTATGACAAAAGTGTTTGGTTAGATTTAACTTTTTATTCTGTTTTCTCTGTTAGACATTGCTATAAAAATAATTGTAATTGTAAAGCCTCGATTTCATTTTTTTCGATTAGCTTTTTAAATGATCAGAACGATTTATCTACAGACATTCCCATAGTCTTTAATGACGACTCTTATAAATAAATTATCTGAATACGTTTTCGAGCAGATTGCGATCATTTGAAAAGATTATAAAATATGAAAATCGAGGAGTTAGTAACGTTGCCACGCCGCTGCCAAACACAAAAATGATTTGCACCAAAATCTGCATGTCAGACAGAGTCTTAATTATCCCTCATCAAATGGATCCGGTTCTACAAAGTATCTTTCGGTTTACAAATCAGCACTGAGTTCAGCAGGGAAGGGGTTAATCGTTGCCAGCTGCTTGGCAGTGGACAGGACCACCTAAGGAGATTGTAAGGTAGGAGTGCGGGGTATGTATGTGAGTATGTGTGTGTGCTCCAGGGGGTTTGTATATATTTGCCTATATGTTTGTATGATCCCATACGCTGGTTATTTGTGTGTCTGTGTTTATGTGTGTGAGAGACAGATGTATTTGTGTACCTTTTCTCTGTATAATTGCACGCTTCTATGCACATGGGTAATTGTGTGTGTATTTACACAATCAGGCACAGATGTGTATTCCTCTCTATGGGTGGCAAGATTTGTATATCTTTGTCTGATAAATTATACAAATGTATGTAGTGTTTAGAAGACGGTGACGGTTTGACTAGATTTGGATGTGACTGGGTAGAGTGTAAGCTCTGGATGTTTGGGATAAAAGGTGCAGCTTAGTCTGTACTACAAGCGAGCAGCATGCTGCTATTTTATAAGATCACATTATTTTACTGGTAATCATTAAATAATGATTTATAACAAGCTCTGTCCTTCAGTTTCAGGGTAAGCCATAGCGAATCAGTTTTTATGTTTTTGGGGGGGTGCCCCTGAGCCCAAATACTCTTGGGGCCTCCCTTCTCAGACTATGACGTTCTCTTTCTAAGCAATTTATAGATATATAATTATAGAGGAGGATTCTCAGACTCGCCATTTGTCCTGGACGATGGACAGTGCATGAAAAGTGCTGTCCTGCAGTATACAGCATTCATTTGTCGTAGAAGAGAAATCAGTTAATTGTGCCATTTCTTTTTGAGAGTCAGCCTCCTTTAATAAGGCGATTCGCTTGGCAGCACTTATCATGTATTGTCCATCAGGATGAAGCAAGGGAGGTCTTCCAGAGACACGGAGCTCCCAAACAGTCAATCCTTTCACCTTATTTAACATCGTAGGAGACGCTTCCTCACAGCTGCATGGAGCACTGGATCAATACTTGCTGCTGAATCCTTCGTATTGAAGTGTGATAAGGAAAGGCGTTTCTGTGATTAGGAAACATTTTTTTTACAGCTCAGCATGAACATACCTGTCCTTATATAAACACTATTATTATTATTATTTATAAAGCGGCAACAAGTTCTGTAGCGCTGTACAATGGGTGGACTAACAAACAAGTATCTGCAACAAGACGAGCTGGACACACAGGACCAGTTGGCGCTGAGGGCCTCGTTTGAAAGAGAGGGAGCGGGGTAAAGTGACACAGGAGGTGAGGGGAGGATGTATTTTATGTACAGGAGAGGTAGGGTACTGGAGTAGCTTACAGTGAAGCTTAGTTTATTGGGTGACACAGTTACAGGAGAGGAAGCAGGGTGGGTTATCAAGGTGCGGGGAGGGAAAGCTATTAATTTAATTGAAGAAGTAAGTTTCTATTGATCTTTTTATGGAACGGAGACTGGGTGAGAATCTAACGGAATATTATTATGACAATGGAGAGAGCCCGATAGCTTTTATTGCCCCAACATGCAGCGGAGTGAGGGGCTAATGTCATAGAGGACCTGAGGTTTTCTAACTTTTTCTTCTTCTATGTAGGAGCCAGAGTTTTGACTAGACAGACAGACAGACTACCGAACGCAGAGAATTTATTGGAAAACAAACAGTCAGAGAATCATCAAATCAGGTCCTAAGCACAGGTAAACGAACAACGTTTAACGAGTCAATGGTCAGTGCTTGGTGGAGACAACTAAATAAGACAAGCCGTGATCAGTGTCGCAGAGAAATCCAACTCGTACCTAGGCCAGTGGAATCACAATATCCCATAAATATGATACAGGCCTCAATCAGCGGCCAATGATAAAAATTAAAAACGGTCACGGACATGTCACAGGAGCTTAGTTGGTGCTTTATTGTGGTAGGAAAGCGATGAACCTTGAATTGCGCCATTATATGTCATGTGATCACAGTGGCGCACTGGGGGTTATTATGGCGTGAGCATTCGGCCTCGTCATGAACAAGTATAGCTGGCCAGCAGCTGGAGTGCAAATGGATGGGATGAGCGAGATGGCTGCAGCAGGGGGCTGACAGTGTGCTCATGTACAGTGACTGTTAACCAAGTACACACGACAAAATAAAACCTCCCCAAGCTGCACCCCAAATTACAAAACAAATTAACCACCACCTGCCTCAGTCGCATTGATTCTCATTCCTAACGCCTTTATATCTCACGTGCAGGACTTTTCTGGGGGCTCTCTCTCCTCACCAACATCATCTCGTCCCTAGTCCTTAAAAAGTTACTCTAAGCACCATAACTACTTCAGCTAGGTTTGTGTGGCATTTCAGTTCAAAACACTGCCAAGTGCGATATTTATTCATATATTTAGCAAGGTGCAGTTCCACCTCTGGCCCCAGTCAATCAAACTTTGTTTCTGGGCCCCCTTTGTGTATTTTATCCTTCCCTTTTCTGATTGCAGACATAGTTCTGTGAAACCGCTTGCAGGTAAAGTCCGCCTCGTGTGCATTGCGCACACAGTCTAAACCAGTATCTCCCAACATGTCAAATGGACAAAGATGGAACATTTTATTTTAGGGGGATGTGTAGGTGAATTCTTTGAAAGCTAAAATGTAATTTAAAACAAGAACTGTGCATTTTATTTACGCAGACTAATTTCTAAACACATTTATTGTAGTATAAAGCTGCGTGGAGCTCTATTCTAGTCGATACCTACCAAGTTTCCCTATTTAGGAGGGACAGTCTCTATTTTAAGCCCAAATCCCTCCGTCCCTCTTTTCTATCCTAATGCCTTTATTTAAGGAGTTCCATATTGTTGGTGTTTCTGAGTGAGTAACAGAAATACTAAATAGTAAAAAAATAAATAAAAATGAAATAACTGTTTCTTTAAATGAAGTTATAGGTAATTGCCTGCGTTTTATTCAGTGGTGTGTACATTGCAGAGAAGTCACTGTTTAAATGCCTTAATCATACGTAAGTATGAACCCACATTTATTTTAAAGCCCCTTATACTAGGTGTAGGTAGGATTGACAAACCCAGCATGGCTCTACGACACACAGCACTTATACATATTGAGGGGCAGCACACCGAATGTCCTGCCCTGTAGCATGGAGAAATCAAATACCCAGACACCAAACAGGGATTTATCAGGAAACCTGCAGCATTTGAATTCTACATACTGCTCATGGAGAAATGATGTGTATTGGAAAGTCTAGGTGGGGGATGAGAGAGAAACATAGCGTTAAACATCTACATCCCATGAATTAGGAGGCCATTGGGTAACGTATAATGGGGAGAGTCAGTGACATGAATCGCATTGCTGGTACTGCCCGACTTACTGTCAGGTCCTCGTGTCATCAATCACCCAGCCTGGCCCACCGAGGACAGGCCATGTTTTAGTACCCTAAGTTTAGTGTGAGTGCATCTAATGATACAATTAAGTTACACGTTTTGAGGACAGTTCGATGGTGTCCCCAAAAGAGGGGCACCAGGGAACAAACCTGGTACGGCAGGACAGTGCCCTAAATTGGGACTGTTCCACTGAAATCAGGACAAATGGGAGACCTGGAGAAAGAACAGCCGTCCGTGGTTATAATGGAAGCTCGTGTCTATGAATGTTTATCTCTATACATTAACTGTGGCATTCTGGTGGAAATTCAAATTCCCAGAAAGAAAGAAAAACAAAAAGACGATTTTACGGAGTTGGTCAGTAAACATTGAATTGAAAAACAAATTGCCAAATATACAGGTGGCAAAAACAGATGAAATGTAAAAATTCCCCAACTCAACTACAGTTACAGCTTGGCTATTTCAGCCGAAACCTCTGTATTCAATTTCCTACAAATCCCTGTTTGGTGAATAAACCTCTCGGCGGGTTTCAGTTTCCCATTTACACGTGAAATATTTATTCTCCCGTAATTCGCTTGTGTAAACATCTACGTGTGTAAAAGCAAATGAAGTTTTGATCTGCACATATTCCTCGTTCATATGTGGAGTTTGGTCCCGTGCACGTCTTACCCTGGGTGGTCACGCCGGTCGGAATGTAAATGTTGCGATTTTGTTGTACATTTGCCCTTCTACCTTTATGATTGCGCGAGTGACATCACGGGAGACGCTTTGATTTTGGGCGCATTTAAAATTCTTTGAAATGTAGAGCTCCCCCCTCCCCCCGCCAATTCCCAATACTTTAATTCCATGTTTGTAGATATATTTTATATAACGCTGGGCCTGACTCATCCGAAATTTCTTTGGAATGGTAAACACAGGTCCTCGGGATTCTTTGGGGATTACTAGTGAAGATTTCTTTGGACGGTGTCCAAGCACTGTTCTCTGGCGCTGGTGTCAGGCTGAACATACAGTGAGATTTTGCGAGTCTCTCTGTGTGGCCTTCGTGTCTGTAATGCACATCCCTTTTTAGAAAATTGGCCATAAAGCACGGAGCTTGTTTGGAGACACAGAATGGCTGCAGGTGTGCGATCAAAGCGTGATGGGTGCTGACAGCACAGTGTGACGCGGAGCCATCTGTGTGCACACACCCGTGGGCTTGTGTGCCGTCTTTCACCCTGTGTGAGAAGTAACAAACGGCTTATTCACTAAACTTTAACCCCTTAAGGACACATGACATGTGTGACATGTCATGTTTCCATTTTATTCCAGAAGTTTGGTCCTTAAGGGGTTAAACTGTAGTGAACCGGGAAACAAATTTTGAAGTCCAGGAAAAAATGGCTGATCAGGAAAATTCTCCAGTCGAGTATAATGACAGTTCGGCTATCTGAGCTTGAATTCTGCCAACTACTTTGGCATATAATGAATTAATAGCTCAGCGTTATCTGGATCGAAGGCTGCTGCAGCCTCCATCCTCATGCCGATAACCATCACAACTTTTGCAACAAGAGAAAAAAAAACGAACCGCACTCACGTCAAGACCCTTTCAGGGGAGGAAACGTTGCGGTGTCTCACTTGTCCTAATAAATACAATTGAAGATACCTCGAGTGCCTGGATCCTCTTTCTACCACTGATAACCATCACAACAACACACCTGTCTATGGTGACAGTCACGTGCCGCGTACACCCCCCCAGGCCGATCTAAATACTTTTTGCTGCGTCAGACTTGGGCTGAAATATGGACATATAAACATTTAGAACACTGGAATGAAATACTATTGAAAATTACAATCTTTTCAGTGAGCATATTGTAAAGAAAGACGAAAACATCTGATTTGGATTCTATCTGCATTCTCTCCTTTAAATAAGTGGGAGTAACCTTAGACCTGTTTTCACCAGGAAGCCTCGAGCCTCCCCTAAACATGTGTTCCCCGTCTCTGCATTCCGGATCACTAAAAGGAAATGAGATGCTTTGTGTCAATTTCAGGCTTTTAGTTAGTTTTCTTGCTGTTTGGGTCCCCCTAGTGGCAGCAAGTCACAGGTGCACCTTGCTGCTATGACCAGTCACTAACAATGGACAGTCCATAAAGACAGAAATGCAGTATAAGGTTTAGGGATTTCGTACGGTCTGGCTGTTCTGGACTTCCTATATCCTTCAGCATGTGAAACGGAGCAGTGTACATCTCTCTTTATTTAAATAGTGCCATCACTCCCTTTCCTTTTTTAATCCATCCTCCACCTTTGTATCTTATTGCAATCTATAAACTCCTTTTTGGTTTAGATCTGTTACGTAACCGTCTGTTTCTTAGTAACATACATCGTAGATTCCTTTTCCAGTTTTCTTTGTGTACATTTTACAGAGATATTTTTTTAACCATTTAAAAAGTCATAATTATATGAAAGGATTTAAGAATGAAGGGTACATTTAACGTTCACTGGTTTCCAGGGGAAGATGTGGACAGAATTTAAAACCATGATTCTAGATCCTGCAGTCAGACCGCTAATTGCTGGCCTACCGCCATAAATCTCTCTTTACATTATTATGGAGAACATGTATCACGGGGACCCAAATGAAGCCCCCAGATTCACAGATCATGGCTCCGCTAACAGCCAATCCAATCAAGGAAAATAAGCAAACCTTTCAGGACAAACCTTATACAAAGCAGGTGTTACTGAAATGCCAAATCAAATAGGTGACGTTTCGGCCACTATGGTTTGATAAAGGCTATTGGGAGCCGAAACGTTACCACTTCAATAAAGGGTAATATTATTTTGCTAATATGGAAAATGTAACTGAAAAGTTTGGCTTTTTCAGGTCTCTTCTGTAGACGAACAGTTTGGAGATTGCCACTCTGTCGTCATCCCTTAAATTGTATGTATCGATGAATGCATTCAAGAGAAACGTGTCCCAGTTCTAGTAAAATTGTACATCCAAGTGTATCATGATGTGACGTTTTCAGAAAACATAATCTTCAATATTTAAAAACCGAAACATTTCATAATCACTTAAACAGTTATAACAAGGCTGCGTATAACATGATCCTGGAATTACTGAAGCTAAACAGATTTACTTCCAACATTCCAACGTACAAGGAATAGGATTGTTTAAAATGCAGAAACTTTAGCTTTTTCAGTTCAGTTTAGAAAAAAGAAAAACTTCAGAGCAGACACAGAGCCGATCAATACATAGGACGGGCAATTTTTGAATCACTGTAAGGGATGGTGCAAGTTAATTTCTGTTGGCGTTGTTTAATCCTAAATCGATGATTGTAGTGTGGATTCTTTGGAATTACCCATCACAGCAAGCATTTTGTCTGAGATGACCGGGATATCTTATTCCCAGAAATCAGCCTTAGATATATTATAAATAATGGGATTTAGTGAATAGAACCCTGAAATTAACAGTTCATTTCATTCCTCTTTCTCTACATTTAATTTTGTGCTACGTTCTGTCCTCATTTGATATTCCACATACAGAGAATTGAGGATATCTTTTTGTGAGCCATGTACACTGATCAGCCACAACATTGAAACCACTGGTAGGCTAAGTGAAATGATTATATCATTACAATGGCTCCTGTCAAGGGGAGGGATCTATATGAGGCAGCAAGTAAACAGTCATTTCCTGAATTTCATGTGTTGAAAGCAGAAAAAATGGGCAAGTGAAACAATCTTAGTGACTTGACAAGGGCTAAAAAGTGATGGCTAGACGACTGCAGCATCTCCAAAACTGCAGGTCTTATGGGGTGTTCCCTGAATGCAGTGATTAGTACCTACCAAAAGTGGTGCAACGAAGGGCAACCAGGGAACCGGCGTCAGCTCATGGGCACCCAAGGCTCATTTTTGGAAGTGGGGAGCGAAGTCTAGCCCGTCTGGTCTGATCACACAGAAGAGCTACTGTAGCTCAAATTGATGAAAAACGTAATGCTGGGCATGATAGAAAGTTGTCAGAACACACAGAGTATCACAGTTTGCTGGCCGGGTATGTGAGTAGTTTACCTGGGGAAGAGATGGCAGCAGATGTGCTATGGGAAGAAGGCAGGCTGGCGGAGGCAGTGTTATGCTATGGGCAATGTTCTGCTGGGAAACCTTATGACCAGGCAGTCAAGTGGATGCCACTTTGACACATACCACCTACCTAGAGATTGTTGCAGACCATGTACACCCCTTAATGGCAATGGTGTTCCCTGGTGGCAGTGGCCTCTTCCAGCAGGATAATGCCTCCTGCCACACTGCAAAAATTGTTCAGGAAGGGTTTGAGGAACATGACAAAGATTTCAAGGTGTTGCCTTGGCCTCCAAAGTCCCCAGATCTCAATCCCATTGAGCATAAGTGGGATGTGAGGAAACAAATGCAATCCATGGAGCTCCCACGTTGCGACTAGTAGGACTTAAAAGATCTGCTGCTAAGGTCTTGGTGTCGGATACCACAGGACACGCTCAGAGGTGATTTTAATGTTGTGGCTGATCAGTGTAAATTCATAGCTAGACAGATATGTGTACGAGAAACCTAATGTTGCTCCCCAAGATGTTTTATTTGTAGAACACTTTCCCAGGATGCTAAGCCAGCCTTTTTATGGTTAAGCATCTTGGAAGTTTATTTCTTAAATATCTTGAGTGCCATAGGTTACAGTCCATTGTACCCCAATGATAACCTACTGCCCAGAAACTCCACAATATGGATTACTGATGAGTTCCTTTGACCATAGGTAATCTTAAGCTCTAAGCAAGCATAGGGTCATGTAGGGCTGAATTCTCTCCAGAACTTCTTAATTGGAGGTTCTGCGATACATTCAAGAAAGAGAGCATGCTCATTTAGAATATTGTTTTATAGAACTTGTAATGAGCCAAAATCTGTTCAAGCAAGGAACACAACATTTTGTTACTCAGTGGAACAAGTCCCATTGAGATCACATATTTCAACCCAGTTATATGAGCTGTAGAAAACTATTATCACACATTGCACCGCACATTGATATGGTAAACATTACGATGTAAAGATACATGCACGCAATAACACAAAATGTTCTTTTGGGATGCATGTAAATATTTCTTTAACTGCTCTCAAGTTCCAGGATCTGATGGGGCGCAGTGCTGCCAAGCTCCTGCAACAGAGCTGGGTAAGGTTAACCGATGATCTGATTCACTCATTCCTCCCAAGGACTCATGTCTGTATCTATGGCAACACAGTTGTACGCAGCGTAGCGCAACTTCTCCTCGCAAACCTTGGCACTGTAACACATGAGAAAGGAGTCACTTGGTGAATGGAAAAAAGGCGATCAAGGCATTTACAGTTGTGCTCAAAATTGTTTTGCCTGCCCTTCGCAGAATTGGTAATATATAAACCATTTTTAAAGAAAATATGAGTGAGCAGGCAAAACACATTTATTTTTATTTCTTATGGGATTCATATTCAACTGTAGGTTTAACCCCTTGAGGACCAAACTTCTGGAATAAAAAGGAATCATGACATGTCACACATGTCATGTGTCCTTAAGGGGTTAAACAGAATGGCACAAACCTAAAACAAAACATGGCAACAAAGAAAGAAATGAAATGACCCCTGTTCAAAATTCTGCATACCCTTATTTCTTAACACTGTGTATTGCCCCCTTTAGCATCAATGACAGCGTGCAGTCTTTTGTAATAGTTGGCTATGATGCCCCTAATTCTTGCAGGTGGTATAGCTGCCCAATACGTCTTGGCAAAATGCCTCCAGGTCATGCAAAGTCTTTGGTGGTCTTGCATGAACCGCGTGTTTGAGATCTCCCCAGAGTGGCTCGATCATATTAAGGTCAGGAAAATGTGACGGTCACTCCAGAACCGTCACCTTTTTTTGCTGTAACCATTGGAGGGTCAACTTGGCCTTGTACTTAGAGTCATGCTGGATAGTCCAAGAGTGTCCCATGCGCAGCCTTCGTGAAGAAGAATGCAAATTGCCAGCATTTTCCATGCAGCTCATTTTTGTTCACGTTTCATTGTATTGTGCTCCTTGAAACAACCACACCATCTTTTTCCAGAGCAGCCTGTATGTCTCCTGAGGTTACCTGTGGGTTTTTATTTGTATCCCAAACAATTCTTCTGGCAGTTGTGGCTGAAATCTTTCTTGGTCTACCTGACATTGGCTTGGTATCAAGAGATCTCCGAATTTTCCACTTCGTAATAAGTGATTGAAGAATACTGACTGGCATTTTCAAGTTTTCCAGTATCTCCAGTATCTAGCCTGCTCAGTGCATCCACGTGAGAGCTAACAAACGTATTGACAGTTTATACACAGACACTAATTGCAATTTAAAAAGCCAAAGGTGTGGGAAATTAACCTTTAATTGCCATTTTAACCTGTGTGTATCACCTTGTGTGTCTGTAAAAAGGCGAAATATTGAAGGGTATGTAAACTTTTGATCAGGGCCATTTTGGAGATTTCGGTTATCATTATGATTTAAAAAGGAGCCAAACAACTATGTGATAATAAATGGCTTCATATGATCACTATCCTTCAATAAAAGACATTGTTTTGCATGATCAGTCATATTTTCAAAATCAATGCCAAAATTTCACAATTTGTGCCAGGGTATGCAAACTTGAGCACAACTGTATTTGCTAAATGGAGAGTCAGAATAAACATGTTTACACTTATTTACCAGGGTAATCTGAATGTACCTTTCCTGGTTAAATACTTTGCTGCTACTGTTATTATTTTGCTGAAATAAAGAAATTCTTCTATTCAGCAATTTTGCTCTGGCCTATAATTTTCAATTCCCTTGTCAGTTCTCTGCAATTTTCTGTTTAGTAAATAAAGCGTATAGCAGCTTTAGTTAGATAATATTGCATTCTAACGCGTGAAAAGTAAGTGTAATATTACAGGTATTGCATTCTACAAGGGGAAACGCTGGCGTCGTGGGGGGTTTGCAGGAGTGCCCCGCTGTATTAACGAGGTTAGCGACGTGTTCACACTTACAGCTACATATAATGCTCCTTTACTTACTGGCAGAGTATGTGACAATAGTAAGAATGGGGCTTCGCTAAACCATTAATGTCGCTTGTGGATGTAAATGGATGTTCACCTGCACCCCAAACACAGTACAGTGTAGAGGGGTAATACACACTTACCTGGGGTATTGGGGTAGGTACAAAGTGCTGGAACAGGTAGAGGACTCCGGTAAGGAGTCGGTAGTATCAGATCTGCAGACAGACAAACCATAAAAGGAAAATCATCAGCTCATTGTCGAGATACAGAGAGCTAGACAGACAGAGAAAGTGAGAGATATAGAAGGAGATACAGATATATAGGGACAGAGAGCAAAACAGATGCAGTGAGAGACAGACAGACAGACACAGGGAGTGAGAGATATAGGGACAGAGAGAAAAACAGATGCAGAGAGAGAGACAGACAGACACAGGGAGTGAGAGATATAGGGACAGAGAGCAAAACAGATGCAGTGAGAGACAGACAGACAGACACAGGGAGTGAGAGAGATAGGGACAGAGAGCAAAACAGATGCAGAGAGAGACAGACAGACACAGGGAGTGAGAGATATAGGGACAGAGAGAAAAACAGATGCAGAGAGAGACAGACAGACACAGGGAGTGAGAGATATAGGGACAGAGAGCAAAACAGATGCAGAGAGAGAGACAGACAGACACAGGGAGTGAGAGATATAGGGACAGAGAGAAAAACAGATGCAGAGAGAGACAGACAGACACAGGGAGTGAGAGATATAGGGACAGAGAAAAACAGATGCAGAGAGAGACAGACAGACAGACACAGGGAGTGAGAGATATAGGGACAGAGAGAAACATACAAAATAGCAGTGCCGCTCTTGTTCCTCCTCCCCACCTTGTCATTACAAAGGACCTCCCATAAAATAAAATATTTGGACATATTATATCACTAAAATATCCCCCAATCCTGTTCCTCATTTCAGGACCTGCACACATGGTTGACCCAAGCTCTCTTGGTGCTGAGAAAAGTGGACCTGTTTAAAATGATACTTTTCACATTAAAGACTACTTGATACATGAATAACGTCCACATAGTCAGTCTCCGTCTCCCTTAGTGTCCAGAAACCTTTATCCATAACCCACTTGGCAATTGTTTGTACTTCGTTCCATTGTTTCCCTGCACTATATTGTGTCACTTACAAGGGTGAGCTGGATCCTTGATATCTCATCCACTCAATAAAAAGTTTGCAGAAAAAGAAAATAGCACAGCATACATTTAGACCTAAACTGGTAAATCACTATGAAAAAAATAAAAGGAAGAAGCATATGCAAGGAAGAGGTTTGAAATGGAAATAATAAATTTGCCCCTTCGCTGTTTAGGAGTTTATACGTATCAGATATTTTTTTTATGATTGAAAGACGTACTTGTGTCACGTGGAACAGGTAAGTACACACGAGATCCAGAGATCCCTGTAATATTGTCCCCCTGCATGTTTGCAGCTGCCTTGACTGTTTACTCACCCAGATTTGTCCGGATAGATGTAGATTGGAGCAGGGAGACGACTTCTCCCAGTTACAAACCTCAGGAATCGACTACGATCCTCTGAAAGATAAAGAAGAGTTTCTGAGAAGCTGGAAGTACTGAGCAAACTATCACCGGCACCCACACACAATATGTTCTTTATTTCATGGCTGTGACGGTCTCTGTTCCCATACTCTCACATTCACGATTTTAGTTTTGCTTTTTTTTTGTGTGGTCTGCTTCCTAGAGCTAGATTAGATTGTGTCCTTCCTTCTGCATCTAGCAGAGCTGAAACATGAGACATGTCAGTACATGGAGACCGGAGTAACAGTGCTCACCATTTGTAAAGCTGTTCAGGGCTTCCCAGAAATACTGAACCCGAATGTCCGTCGCCTCCAAATCTTCAAACCTGGCTGGAAAAACAAAGCATCAATTTAACATAACTTAAAAAGCGGTGGATGGAACAGTTACTAGCAGAAGCCATCTACAGAGATATTACACCTCTATATAAGTACCCGGGAGATAGAGGGACATGGCGTGTGTCGTGAAGTATAATAATCAGGATGAGATTTTAGAGTCCAATGCCACCACGGCCAGTCCAGTCCTTTCCCAGCAAATCATTTACCATGTGATGCTCCACAGAGCACCAAAAAGGCTATAAGTGCAGAACATTCCGTGTCAGAATAGGATCCCCACAGACCAGAATTTTAGAATAATACCACCCTTTGCTCTTAACAGCCTAAACACAGAAAGTTCTGAATGACCTGCACACGTATGTGATTCTTACTTAGTTTTTTCAGGGCCTCCACAGATATTTCTGGGTCTCCGCAAACTCTCTTCTCCAGTTCCTGCCAGGTGAGAAGATCCAACACTGCCTGAGGTACCACCTTCAGAAGTCCTGCCCTGATGGCCCCAATCTGAGTAAGACAAGAAGAAACTCCCCGCATTCTTGAACAGTTTCCAATATCAGATGGCTGTGAGTGATTACTTAGTAGCCATCCAGCGACTGCAGACATAAAACCGATCTGGAGCCCATAATGCACATTACCTGGTCTTTACTCTCCTCCAGCCTCGCTCTCTGTACCATCTGAATGAACTCCACACGGTCCTCGTAGCGCACACAGATATTGCTGCCCCCCGGTATAAGCTCCACCATTCTCTGATCGCTCAGCACCGTCGTGTAGCTCAGCTCCTCTCCAAACTTAAACTCAAATGTCTCCTTGTCCATCATCTCCATCATCTCCAAGAGTTTCACCTGGCAGGAAAAAGTAGGAGAATTGCTCAGAGTATTGAAAAGAAGAAATAAAAATACGTACATGAACAAACAGGCATACAGACCAAGTGCAGAGACATGCACCCACTATTCGTCACATAGTCATTCAACCATCTCCACTTCCAGGGTTTTTTTACTCACTAAAAGAGAGTCAACAGCGAGGAAGTCCTTGCTCCAGCTGATTTCTTCTCCGGTGAGCTGCTTCCACACAAAGCCGGGTAACGCAAGAACCTGAAAATGAAAAATCCAATAAATTCGATGAATACATCAGGCGAGGGGGTTTGTTCTGTCTCGTGATACGTTTAGGTTCTTAAAACCTTTTATATTACACAAACTGTGGATACTATAGATCACTGAACAGACAAATCAGTGCTTATCTACCACGCAGCGTGCGTTACTGTGGGATGTATTTTTTTCAAACTCATAAAATAAAAGGAAGGATAAGCGTCGATTTTGTTTTTTGGGTAAAGATATGGGTACCAAACTCAATGCTGTTCATTTTATCAACTTCAGAAATGTGAAAGTTTAAATTGACTCTGCATATCCTATGGTTGGTGCACAAACCAACTGAGCCATCTTTCCAGCATGTCTAAAGCTGTTTTCATTGGTTGATGGGCCGGTATATGACTCACAGGGAAATGTCCTCTTTAAAATTGCCACCAGTTTCATTTCCATATTGTGTGAATGAAATCGCCTGTTTAGTGCTTGCATGACCTGTTTTTAGGAAAATGTGGAACTGAACGAACAGGCCTCCAGCCCGTCCTGTTACAGGTTCCACCAGCTTTTTAGGCCTTAAATGAAATGCTGCTTCAGCCATGTCTGGGTCCATGTGCCGACCGATATCTGGGATAGAGAGAGGCAATGGAGGGGGAAACTGGCTATAAGGAAGTATGGAAGACAGGAATTCGCAATGTTTTCATACCAGGAATTCCTTCCCTCTCAGTGCTGCGCCCATTAGCTGCCCAATCCACTCATACTTTGCCACGTCCTTACAGGATGGATTGGGAACATACATGTCTCGAGCTTCGCCCGTGCTGTTACCCTGTAATAAGAAAAGCAATCAGTGTAACCTCAGACACATATTAGAATGACCCATCTTATAACAAGCCAGAGACTCAACCAGCACTACTGCTGAAGGCTTGGAAATAGGTGGTAGAACCAGTATGTAGAGAAAGGTGAACGTATCATTCACAGTTTGATAATTCCACGTCCCCTTTAAACTACCAGCGATGTGTAATCAGGATTTGAAGAGCTTGTTGCGCCCTTGTTGACACAGTCAGACACAGAGTCAGACACAGAGGAAACAAGTTCAGAATCACCTGGTTTGAAGTGCGGACAAAGAATGGTAGTGGCATGGGGGTATCTGCTGAGCTCGGACACAGCTCCTCTGATATATCAGCCAGACTGTCACGGAATCCTCCCCCTGTGGCAGACGAAAGGCACAACACATTGTATCAGACAAAGAACGCACTACCTGCTTCTTCCAGTTACTTAATGCTTAATATTGGTAAATCATTTCACAATACTAATTACTAGACATTCGTTAAGGTGACACTGATTGAAATTAAATGCACCAGGTCTGCCTTAAGTTTTAAAACCTTTTTTTCTGAAAGTGACAAAAATTGTTTATAAATAAAAAAATGTTCCAATGATGTGCATTTGGAATGGGAGGGGGATGGCAGGCACCTTACAAAATACATGATATTTTATCTCGTTTAGTCTGTGGCATGCAGGCTGATCTAGTCGCTAATAATCACCTTGTTAGTTTTACTGACAGAAATTGGAGAAGCAGCCCACATGGATTAACATAGAATGTAACTCTGTAGCAAACTTAGTGCCATCTCAGAGTGAATCAGCGGATCTGACACCACACACTAAGAGAGTCCTATGTCTGCCAGTATAAGTGCTCGACTACCTACAGCATGGAGAATAATTAAGGAATCACTGCATGAACAGGTGTCAGGTGAGGATATGGTAGACTTTAACAAAATGGAATATCGCGTGTGTGAGGATGTATGTGCACACGGACACAAAACTAACAATTTACCTTGATCAATGATGCCTTCGGCAATAAATTTACACTCCCACCACTGGTCGTAGCGTACAGGCCACCTAGGAAGTTACAGAAACTGACATCAGAATGTGTGCAAACATATGGGCCTTGCACATTGATATCAGGGATATACACATTCCAGACACTTTAGTCTCCAAACATCTGATGGATATTAAGCTCTCTATATCTTTGGGGCTTAACACAGCAGTGTGAAGAAACACCCTTTTTGTTATATTGTATATACTCTTTGCATTCCCTTTTTGTTACCCTACTTATGCCCATTGCATTCGGTAGATGGAACTACCGAACAAAGACCACCCCTCTGGCTCGTTAAACATCAAAGTTTGGGTGAAATTGCTTCCTCTGTCTGTGTGGCCAGCGTTCGTCAGTCGAACGCCACGTGGCAGAGAAAACCGCGGCCATTTTTGTTCATGCGAACAAAGGCACCGGGACCTGGTCGTCAAGTGCATGGAACTAAAAACGGACACACGACTTCCCGAACACCGGAACTCTATTTACAGAAGAGCTAGAAGAGCGCTATTCGGTACTTTGGTGTATTCGACAGAGGGGCACGAACGCTGCTAGGAGTCAGAGGGAACCATTCGGTACTTTGTTCGTTTTTCTGCTTTTTCGAAAGTGACCGGCAAAACCCACCAAATTCATGGAACTGTTTTGGGCATACAGCCCAGGGTGAGCCGGTCACAAGAGACTTCCATAGTTTTTGCGAACCCCTGAACCGATCTGGGTGAAATTCGGATATGTTGGTCACCCAGATCAGGGCTATCAGGGGACATATAATTTATGGGGATACCTCAAGTATAAAGGGGTGTTCCAGTTATTGGGGAAAAATGTGATTTTTCAGCCCGGAGATAATTAAGTTAACATTTTATCAGACTAAATTATCTCCTGGGCTAGGGGAGGGAACTGTAGGTGTGTGTTAACATTTTACTGGTTGTGATTGGTTATTGTTTGTCCCTCCCTGAGTGCATAAAAGCCGTGTGCACCCATTAAAGGCTAGTTCATTTTGTACCCTTCTTCTTGACTTCGGCTGATGTTTGGGGATTCGTGTGTTTCACTAAGGGAATTATCTTGTGAAGCTATTGGAATTACTATAGGATTAGTCTACCCTATCTACCGAACGGAGGGCTATAATCACTAAGGCTCTGGCGGTTCGGGAGGAAACTAATGAATGAGGTTTAAATATACTTGGTTTCCTTACAAGCAGTATGTAGCAAAAAAAGGACAGAGTGTGTCTAATCCAACACTTCTAAAAAAATAATGTCAAATAAAGTAATAACTTGCTGCTATTTTGTCCTTTTGTTAGGATATTTTATATGTAAACATTTGTTTTTTATTACTGGGTCCCTGAGGAAGTCTTACATAAGACGAAACGAGTAGGACCACATTTGTTTTTTATCTTTCATACTTGTACAATAAAGCAGATTATTTTATACCGTCTCCTAAGTCTGGACTTCCATATTGTGGCGATACCACCAACCAGCTAAGAGGGAGCTCTGGACATCTAAGGGGAGGCACCCTAAGGTGATTTTATCGATCTACATCTTGTGAGTTCAGTTTATATTGGCGCAGTTTTATTGTTTATTTACAGTATTACACTATTTCTGTAGATTATCAGCTATACTCCTCTGTTATCAATATATATACTTAACACAGAAGTACCTGTCCAAACTGAAGACTAGGAGTTCACAGACATACACTTTAAATATCTACCTGTAATCCAAGGGCTTCTCTGATTTATCGGTGGGTTTCAGACCTTCATACACCTGGATTAAAAGGAGAGCAAACATGGAAAAAGTTACTTAACTACAAAAACACTGACATTTATTCCAGACACAAAACAAAGTGCAATTTAATGATCTCCAGTGAACTGAAAGCTGAATTGTAAAGTTAGGCTAAATTTTAACCAAGCCAGAATAAGCAGAGTAAGTAGTTTTCTTAAATCTGCTATTTCAGCCTAAATTAGGAGATTTGGATGTCAGTTCACTACTATCTGATGTTTAGTGAATAAGTCTCTGCATGAATCACAGCCTGCTAATGCTTTCAGTGACTGTAACCCTCAGTACAGCGAGAACATTAAAGGAACACTATAGTCACCTAAACAACTTTAGCTCAATGAAGCAGTTTGTGTGTGTAGATCATGCTTCTCAGGTTTCACTGCACAATTCACTGCCTTTTAGGCGTTAAATCACTTTGTTTCTGTTTATGCAGCCCTAGCCACACCTCCCCTGGCTCTGATTGACACAGCCTGCATGAAGAAAAAAACTGGTTTCACTTTCAATCAGCTGTAATTTACCTTAAACAATTGTATCTCTCTCTGTAAATTGAACTTTAATCACATACAGGAGGCTCTTGCACGGTCTAGTAAGCTATTAACATAGCAGGGGATAAGAAAATCTTAATTAAACAGAACTTGCAATAAAGGAAGCATAAACTTTAGATGACTCTTTACAGGAAGTGTTTATGGAAGGCTGTGCACGTCACATGCAGGGAGGTATGACTAGGGTTAATAAACAAAGTGATTTAATTCCTAAATGGTAGAGAACTTAGCAGTGAGGCTGTAGGGACATGTTCTATACACCAAAACGGCTTTATTAAGCTAAAGTTGTTTTGGTGACTATAGTGTCCATTTAAACTCTTTATTTCCACCCAAAAACATTATTCCAACATTTATTACATTTATTCAATAAACAGGGAATTGTGGAGCAATGACAAAAAGTAGTGGATATTTTATACCAAAATTGCAGAATTATGGAAAATTCTCCAATTCAGCTATTTTTCCATACTGGTTACTTTGACTTAAAATGTATAATCTCGGGGGGCGTGGCTTGGAAGCCGAGGAAGATGGCGGCGTAAAGTCTGAGCTCCCTGTAAGGCTCCAAGCACCCCACCGCCTAGCGCACCTAATTGCCCCGAAAATGGGCAAATCACAACGGGCATCACAAGCCCCAAAGCCAACAAACACCCCGAGGGGGAGCGCAACTCCATCCATGAGGCGCTTCCTAGCGACACCGGCGGACAGGGAGACACAGGCCTCAGAAGAGTCGATGGCCTCGGGAGGGGGAGCGTCGCCTTCACTGTGTGGGGAAGAGTCCCTGGCCGAGACGCCTATACTGTACCCCACCGACTCCCACCCGGATCTAATGCACATGCTCCGAAATCTGCCCACTAAAACTGACCTGCTGGAGGCAAACAACAGCCTCCGCGCCTCCATCACGGAGGAACTCCAAGCCATGCGGGAAGAATGCTGCGGCCTAAGCCAGAGGATCTCCCAACTGGAGGCAAATCATGACCACGTGCAAGCGGCTCAGTCCGCCAACACCGGGATCCTGAGGCGGGCCACCCAGCAGATGCAACAAATGGCACAACACCTAGAGGACCTCGATAACAGGGGGAGGAGGCAGAACATCAGGGTCCGGGGGATCCCAGAGGAAGTAGACGACGACGCCCCAATCCAAGCTACCTTACAAACAGTCTTCAATCAGCTGCTGGGCCGCGCACCACGGGAACCCCTGGAGATGGTGAGAGCACACCGGGCCCTCAGACCGAAAGGCCCCCCGGGAAGCCAACCAAGAGATGCCATATGCTGCTTGGCAAATTTCCAGCAGAAGGAAGATATCCTGAGGAAGGCCAGAGAGGAGGGTAGGGTGTACCTGGGTTCGGCAGAGATCCAACTGTACCCGGACCTCTCCCCCGCCACCCTGGCGTACCGTAGGGCACTGCGCCCGTTCACCAGACAGCTACAGACGAACAGAGTCAAATACCGTTGGTGCTTCCCGACAGGGCTGCTGGTACACACACACAAAGGCTCCTTTCTAGTGAAGACAGAGGCCGACATGACCGCCCTCGGGAGGGAGCTGCACATCACACCGGCTCCACTGCAGTGGCCAGATCCTCTGGCTCTATACACTCCGGCCCCTGGACCGGAGACTTGCACGGCGGACACCCAGCTCCCGCGGACCACCCGCAAACAGGCGACAGGCCCGAGAGGACTCTGACCAGAGGGCAGGAAATGTTGCACCCCCAGCCAAGCCCCCAAGAGTCCCACTAAAGAACATTTCGGGGAGCCCGTTCCAGGAAAGAGAGGACTAACATTAGCATAAGCCCACGGAGCACACGCAAGTATATTACCCGGGGGTTTACCCGGCCCGAGGGACTAACCATACCAAAGCTCACCTATCAGGACATGCAAAATGTTGATCGGGGGGGGAAGGCATCAGACCAAAGCAACTGGGAAGGTTCAGAGTAACTGCGGGGGAGGGGTACTTGTGGATGGATGGAGGACGGTCGACACGGACCTCCGTGCTCCCCTTGATAAACCTGTGATGACCACACTTGGAGCAGGTGGGGGCACGGCGATCCGTCTCGCCCAGACATCCAGGAGGAGGAGGAGGAGGAGGAGGAGGAGGAGGAGACAGAGAACACAGGCGCAGGAAGGGACTGGGTAACAGGGGGACAAGACAACCACACACACACACAAACACCGGGATGACACCCCGGGTAGGGAGGCAAAATGAGCAGGTCCTGGGAGGGAAGCCACGTAGGGCTCCATGCACTCAAGGGGGATGGCCGGACGGCTACTTCCCACTCAGCACCAAGGGGGATGGCAGTAAGGGAACCATGCCATGAGGCACGGGATAACCAACTGGGTTCGCTTGCACATGTATATAGGTTTGGGGGGGGGGTGTTTTTCTCTTTCACCGGGAAGTTGATTTACAGTTGAAAACACGGTTGCACCAACCAAGTTTCCACAGCAGTAAAGATGCCACACTTGTTCTAGGCGAAGTTGCACATTAAATGCACATTCACAAGCGGAGCCACGCAGGGCGAGACGTCAGACGTAAGTCACTCACACACGAATAGACCAGACCAAGGGCCTGGGTATTCCCTCCACCCCCATAAGGGTTGAGCGCCAAAGTTAAGAGCGGCCTACCCGGCTGCCCAGACGCGGATACCTTAACGCTGCACGCGCGGCGGATACACACGGACACATCCGTATACACACTCACACTAGACCACAGCCCCAATCGCGGGACAGCCCGGGTCTGGGACCTGCAGACACCCCTCAAAATATGACGCTAATACCAGCTAACCTCACTATAGTCACCATAAACGCAAGGGGTCTAAACAAACCCGAAAAGCGGTCGTCAGCCCTCAAAGAATTTCACGCTACAGGGGCCTCCATTGTATATATCCAAGAGACACACTTTAGGGAAGGGGCAAGGCCGAAGTTACAAAACCATCACTATCCCATAGGATATTATAGTGATTACCAGGGGGGGAAGACACGGGGAACGGCGATACTAATTCATAGGGGAACACCCTTTCAGGAGCAGGGACTACAGACAGACCGGGAAGGCAGATACGTCCTTGTCAAAGGCACGATAGCGGGACAAATGTATACATTTGCCAATATATATGCTCCCAACCAACGACACTATAGATTCCTGTCAGGAATCCTTCGCAGGGTACAGGAGTTCGCGGAGGGAATCCTGGTGGTAGGAGGGGACCTTAACTTAGCATTGGACCCGAAATGGGACTCATCCACAGGTAGATCACATATCCCAACACAACACTTGACCGCACTCAAAACTCTCATATCCAAATACAAATTGGTAGATAGCTGGAGAGCACACCACCCGGATGAGAGGGATTATACGTACTTCTCACATCCACACAACACATATACCAGAATAGATTACTTCCTACTCACACATCATCACCTACCACTAGTCACACAGGTGGAACATGGCACAGCAACATGGTCAGACCACGCCCCCGTAACCCTCAAGCTAATGTCCCCACTCTACAGACCTAAAGTGGCCAAGTGGCACCTAAACGAATACCTCCTCTCAGTACCGGAGGTTAAAAATGACATCGGAGCAATTCTCCGAGAATACTTCGCCATAAACACACCAGACCACACCTCCCCAACCATCATGTGGGAGGCACATAAGAGCGTGATCAGAGGTCATTTCCTCCAAAAGAGCGCTACCATGAAAAAACAGAGGGAAGCGGCCATGAACAACACACTGACGAAAATACGGGAGCTAGACACACTTAACAAAAATAAACAGACACCTGAACTGCAAGGACAACTGCTCACATTGCGAAGGGAACTCACTAAAATACTCCAGTCCAGGTACCACCGAGACGCGTTGCGACACAAGGCGTTTTTTGCCTTACATGGCAATAAGAGTGGCAGGCTGCTGGCACGCATGCTGACCAAACGTCGGCAACAGACATACATTGACAGGATTAGGGACGACACAAATACACTACACAGACTACCCCGGAAGATACAGGAAGTCATACGGGCGTACTATGAAAACCTATACGCTCTCCCAAGGCCACAGGACCACCGGGCGGACTTACGCCTAACAGACTCCATTGCAGAATATCTGACCGCACACTCGATGCCCACCCTAGACAGGGACACTGCTGAGTCCCTAGACGGGGAGATAACACAGGAGGAAATAGCAGCAGCCGTGAAACAAACAAAACCCGGCAGAAGCCCGGGCCCAGACGGCCTGCCGCTCTGTTATTACAAGGCGTACGCAGACATCCTATACACCCCACTCACACTGACATTCAACGCTATCAAAGAGGGACACCACTTCCCTAGGCAATCCCAGGCAGCGCACATCACGGTACTCCCTAAGGAGGGCAGGGATAGGGAGCGATGCGGAAGTTACCGCCCCATCTCGCTCATAAATAACGACTTAAAACTATTAGCCAAAATCCTGGCGACCAGACTGCAGATGCATGTGCCCAACCTGGTGCACCCTGACCAGGTGGGATTTGTGATGGGGAGGGAGGCACGTGACAACACAATACGCACCCTCACACTGATACACGGGAAAAGGCGGGCCAGGGAAGGCCTTCTCCTGCTATCCACGGATGCGGAGAAGGCCTTCGACAGGGTGGGATGGAAATATCTCTTCCAGACCCTGACCCACCTCGGGCTGGGCCCAGGTGTCAGGGGATGGATAGAGGCGCTATACCAGCAACCTTCCGCGCAGGTGGTAGTTAATGGAGCCCTGACAGAGCCGTTCGACATACGGAACGGCACGCGCCAGGGTTGCCCCTTGTCCCCGATCCTCTTCGTCCTAGCTCTGGAGCCCCTGCTGGTGGCCATTAGGAACAACATGGACATCACGGGGTTGCAGACAGGAACGACACACCACAAAACAGCAGCATATGCTGATGACTTGTTGTTTTACGTAACTAACCCAGAAATCTCTCTCCCCAATATACTGAAGGCATTCCAGGACTTCGGCAGACTCTCCAATTTTAAAATAAACCTCTCCAAATCATTTATACTTAACATTAACATCCCAGAACGCAGAGCAGAACCCATGCGCCAACACTACTCCTTCCAATGGGCAACACATAAAATTAAATACCTAGGCATCTGGCTAACAAAACGGGAAGGGGATCTATATAAGGAAAACTTCACAGTAATGCATGAGAAGATGCACTTGGAGATGCAGGAGTGGGCATACCCACATATCTCCTGGCTAGGCAGGATACAAGTAGTGAAGATGAACTTTCTACCACGCCTTCTCTACTTGTTCCAAACCATACCCATAACGGTCCCCAGAGCGTTCTTCACCACATTACGCTCAGCCCTCATCAAATATGTCTGGAACGGGAAACGGCCCAGGCTGCGCCACACACTACTCACACAACCAAAAGACAGGGGGGGACTGGCACTGCCAGACTTCAACCTATACTATAGAGCATGCCATCTCATGAGAATCATGGAATGGACAAAAACGGGAACACAAAAACAGTGGAAGCAAGTGGAGGAACACGAGGCGGGCGTCCCGGTAGAAGTCCTACCGTGGCTGCCACCCGGGGCCCAGACGGGGGAAGGGTCTCAGTCCCCCTACACGAGGGCAACCTTAAGGGAGTGGCACCGCTCCAAAGGGAGACATGGCCTAACATCATACCCGTCACCATTAATACCCCTGACACACAACCCTGAGTTCATGCTGGGGATGGACCCCAACGCATTTAAAGACCTAATACAGGACCCGCTACCCAGACTTAGACACATACAAACCACTGACGGCATAAAGACACTCAAGGATCTGAGGGGGAATGAAGAACACACTTTCCTAATACGCCTCAAATACAAACAGATCCGGAGTTACATTACATCCCTCCCGCAGGGACCGGCACTACATAGGGCCACCACTCCCTTCGAGAATCTATGCCTGGAACCCAACCCACTAGCACATGGGGTATCGGCACTATACACCCTACTAATAACACTCACACCAATTGCCCAACCACGGTTCATGGGGAAGTGGGAGGCGGCACTGGGCCAGACCTTTGACAAAGTGGAATGGGAGAAAATCTGCTATTTAACACATCACTGCTCTAGCTACAGCAAGACACAGGAAACGGCATATAAACTACTGACACACTGGTACCACACTCCTGAGTCACTACATGCCCGAGTTCCATCCCACCCCCCACAGTGCTGGAGATGCGGGGAGGGCAGAGGCACACTCTTACACATTTGGTGGGCGTGCAAACAGATAGCCCCATTCTGGTCTGAGATTCACAAAATACTGACAAAGTTTACAGACGACCCAGTCCCATTTGACCCAGCAGTCATGCTCTTACACCACACTAAAACCCCTCGAACAGCTTATAAGAGGTCACTTACTATTCGCATACTGAACACGGCCAAAATGATCATACCACAGTATTGGAAAACACAGGTCACCCCCCCTGTGAGAGTTTGGTTTACGCAAATGGAAGAATTGAGATCACTAGAGGAGCTCCACCACAAAGCTCACGATACATTCCAAGTGTACCTTAACACTTGGACACATTGGATCCTGAAGACAACAGACCCCGAATTTACTAACATGACATAACTACCACCACATAGCTAGCTGCAGGAGGCTACAAACCCAGAGAGGAGAGGGGAAGACAGCCACACAGGGGCAGGTCTACCTCCGGCAACAGGGGCTAAACGACACTAGAAGGCCCAACAAACACACAAAAAGACAAGGGAGGCCCTGTCACATAGACGAGGAGACCACCTCAACTAAATAGGGCATCCCGAGGAGGGGAGGGGGTGAGAGAGGCGGATCATAGGACCCTGGCTGTCACGCGACACTCTCACAAACAGGCACGAGTAACGGAGACATACACACACACGCAACATTCACAAGGGACTTGTGGGACTGACGTAATCGCGGGCATACGAGCCCAACAGAACATGCAACTGTACAAAAATATATAAGAAAGAGTGTAAATGCGGAAGGGCAAGACACAGAAATGGACCGGTCAACATGTTTTTCACGTTTGTCATTTTACACAGTTCTATATTCATGGTTAAATTAATGGAGACCTGCGAGTCTCAATGTGCTGGCAATTGCTCTGTAAACACACCGCAAGACAACAACGGAGACCTGCGAGTCTCAATGCTATGCCTTTTTCTTTCTGTACACGAAATGTGCCAATAAACATATATTTACAAAAAAAAAAAAAATGTATAATCTCATCATTTGTTCTCCACATAGAATATACAAGTTCTCCTAACCCTGTGCTTGTATGGGAATGGTAGTAGAGAGTAGCTAATCATTGGATGCTGGTTTAAAGAAAATTGATCAGGTTTATTTTTTATTGAAGTCTGCGAAGACGTGTATAATGCACCCATCTAGTCGAGCAGTTACCCTGATACTAAGTTTCAGCTGTTGCATCCTTAGCTCACCTGACTAAAAACTGTCTTCTTATAAGTGGGGTCCAGCAGGGGATTGTCGCGGTGCTCCACGGCCAGCCGGCGGTTGATGTACAGTCTCGGCATGAAGTTGGGTTTACTGGTTTCAGAGTCCTTCAAGCATTGTGTAATTAACGGAGAGCGGCGCTTGGACAGCAGGAGAAACTGTTTGATATACTGGATATGGAGACAGAGAGCATGAATGAAGATAAAGACATTTCTAAGTATAACCAGACATTAGATTAGATCATATACAGTTGCAAGAAAATGTATGTGAACCCTTTGGAATGATTTGGATTTCTGCACAAATTGGTCATAAAATGTGATCTGATCATCATCTAAGTCACAACAATAGACAATCACAGTCTGCTTAAACTAATAACACACAAAGAATGAAATCTTGCCATGTTTTTATTGAACACACCATGTAAACATTCACAGTGCAGGTGGAAAAAGTATGTGAACCGTTTTTAATAACTGGTTGAACCTCCTTTGGCAGCAATAACTTCAACCAAACGTTTCCTGTAGTTGCAGATCAGACGTGCACAACGGTCAGGAGTAATTATTGACCAGTCCTCTTTACAGAACTCTTTCAGTTCAGCAATATTCTTGGGATGTCTGGTGTGAATCGCTTTCTTGAGGTCATGCCACAGCATCTCAATCGGGTTGAGGTCAGGACTCTGACTGGACCACTTCAGAAGGTGTATTTTCTTCTGTTTAAGCCATTCTGTTGTTGATTTACTTCTATGCTTTGGGTCATTGTCCTGTTGCAACACCCATCTTCTGTTGAGCTTCAGCTGGCAGACAGATGGCCTAAAGTTCTCCTGCAAAATGTCTTGATAAACTTCGGAATTCATTTTTCCTTCGATGATAGCAATCCATCCAGGCCCTGACGCAGCAAAGTAGCCCCATGACGCCCCCACCACCATACTTCACAGTTGGGATGAGGTTTTGATGTTGGTGTGCTGTGCCTTTTTTTCGCCACACATAGTGTTGTGTGTTTCTTCCAAACAACTCAACTTTGGTTTTATCTGTCCACAGAATATTTTGCCAGTACTGCTGTGGAACATCCAGGTGCTCTTGTGCAAACTGTAAACGTGCAGCAATGTTTTGTTTGGACAGCAGTGGCTTTCTCTGTGGTATCCTCACATGAAATCCATTCTTGTTTGGTGTTTTACGTATTGTAGATTCGCTAACAGGGATGTTAGCATTTGCCAGTGACTTTTGTAAGTCTTAAGCTGACACTCTAGGATTCTTTTTCACCTCACTGAGCAGTCTGCGCTGTGCTCTTGCAGTCATCTTTACAGGACGGCCACTCCTAGGGAGAGTAGCAGCAGTGCTGAACTATCTCCATTTATAGACAATATGTCTTACCGTGGACTGATGAAGAGCAAGGCTTTTGGAGATACTTTTATAACCCTTTCCAGCTTTATGCAAGTCAACAATTCTTAATCGTAGGTCTTCTGAGAGCTCTTTTGTGCGAGGCATCATTCACATCAGGCAATGCTTCTTGCGAAAAGTAAACCCAGAACTGGTGTGGTGTGTGTTTTTAATAGGGCAGGGCAGCTGTACCCAACACCTCCAATCTCATCTTATTGATTGGACTCCAGTTGGCTGACATCTCACTCCAATTAGCTCTTGGAGATGTCATTAGTCTAGGGGTTCACATACTTTTTCCACCTGCACTGTGAATGTTTACATGGTGTGTCAATAAAAACATGGCAACATTTCATTCTTTGTGTGTTATTAGTTTAAGCAGACTGTGATTGTCTATTGTTGTGACTTAGATGATGATCAGATCACATTTTATGACCAATTTGTGCAGAAATCCATATCACAAGGGTTCACATACTTTTTCTTGCAACTGCAATACTAACACTAGGTGTACTCATAAAGGAGACCTAACAATACTGAGACAGAATGGATGGTAAATTGACATACTGAAAGATAAGTCCTGAAAGAAAAGAAAGGAATACCAGGGAACTGGCTAAACAGTTTGAACAAATAGCATTCCATGCAGAATGTCCAGATCAACATCAAAGAGGACTACAACTCTCAGACTCTTAGCCACAAGGTGGCTTGTTAAAGATAATCATTGTTTTATTTGGCTACAGAAGATGAGCTGCAAACTGATCACCCACTACATGGGTTCTAGGAGAGGGTTAGGGGCAGGATGGAGCCCAGGGGAGGCAATGTTCGATGTATGAACCATGTTTCAGGGATAAACAGTAAGATATGAGTGATAATACGTTCCTTTATTTACTTTTTATTGTATTAGAAAGGATATTGTGTTGTATTAGAGAGGATTGTTATAAGCAGAAGAATGACTGGCTATATACTACCCGCCTTCCCCTATGCATTTTGCAGTTAGCTCGGCATCGTCTTACCTTCAGCCGGTTGAATGTACCAATGCTGTGATCCCAGGCAGGAACAAGATGATGCAAAACGCTATCCAGGAGCTTCACAAACCTGTGAAACACAGAGACAGTGAGATAGCCTTAGATTTTAAAACGCAACTCTCTCTAGCTAGACAGACTGTTCTCAGGATGTATGTTGACATTCATAGTCTTTACTGCCAAGCCGTTTAATTTATTTATTCTCTGCCTATACTTTATTGTAGTGGGTATCACGAACAGACATTCTGCTTTTTATTCAGTGTAGTTTCTGCAGACAATAGTCGCCATTTCTCTTTGTTTGTCATTTAAAGATTTAGATACACGCTATGCATTATGTAACAGTAGGATTTACAGAATACATTGTTTTTATGGTATTAAACGAAGTTTCTTCATTTTTATATTTACATATACCTTGGAAAAAAGAAAACGCATGCGAGTATAATTAAAAAATAAATACACTTAGTTGCTATAGTTTTTCACATATTAGTCACTGTGTAGAGTGTTAACAGAATTTGTTGTTGGGAATCACATATATTGAGGACGCCTGTTGGATGTGATCTTTAGGGAAATGTATGTAATCTATACACCTGATAGCGGATCTGACCAGCACAGACTACAGATTATATCTATAAATACATAAACATAAACCTGCCATGGGCACGATTTGCCATGTTCTACCTCTGTATTAGAAACATAGAATGTGACGGCAGATATGAACCATTCGGCCCATTTAACCTTTCCTGGTAAGTTTTATCCTGTAATCCATGAACCAGTTTAGTAGCCCTTCTCTGAACTCTCTCCAAAGCATAATAATAATTATGCGTTAAAATAGTTTTTTTTTTTTTTTCAATTTGACAATTTTTATTTGTTTTTCATAGGATGTTGGGGTACAGAAGGAAAAGTGGGATGGGGTAAACATTAATACATGCACAATAAATGATACAGAGGAGGTGTTGTAGTATTAATTATTCATTTGACATACTAGGCATATTTATGTGTTTTTCTGATGTACGTCTTATACAGTTGGTCGCTTAGTGGTCTTTGTCTAGGAGCATTCCTGTCTAGTGGTGGAGGACCCACTCCATTACGTTTTTTTTTTTTTTTTTCTTCTTCTTCTCATGTTTGTATTGTTAATGCGTATAATATAGTGGGGGGTACAGAAAAGAAGAAGGGGAGGGTAAGCGGTTAGTGTGCATTAGTCATCTTCATATTTATACATGTTAGACAGTCCTAACGAACTTGGTCTTATATGGTGGAGTTTTGTTACTAGTGGGGTGGGTCGGGGTCCATCCATTCAACCTGTGGTATTCTCTCCTATCTTGCATACCCTTTGGCTAGTAGTTGTCGCCTCAGTTTGGGGGGGGATTAGGAGAGGTGGGTATGGAGGGGGGGTGAGGAGGGTGTGTGGACCCGGCACCATGCCCGTACTGCTCTTGTTTCATTGTCATGCTTCATTTGTTATTTGCAGCGTGGTGCTTGGGTCTTTACCCCTCGAACTATGTACATTGTGGGTTCATATTCCGCGACGTCTTCGCGCTGGTGTATTGTTTGGGCAATTCCCAGATATCTTGGTCTTTTGTGGGGGCCTCCTGCTCTAGGCCTCTATTCTAGTGGTCGCCCTGTTCGTCTTGCACTCTCCGTCTGGTGTCTCTAAGTCCAGCCTCTTTTTTTTTTTTTTTATCTATATCCCCTCCCCAGTCTGTGATATGTAGGTTTCCCACTCCTCTTTGGCTTGTATGATATGTTTTGCTGGGTGGAACTGTTGACTAGTCCCTATTTCGTAGGTCAGGTTGAGTGACGTCTGTTCTATCAGGTCAGACCTAGTGGGTGTCTGTGTCTGTTTCCACCTCCTTGCTAACAAGAGGTTTGCTGCTGTTAAGATGTGAAATAATAAGCTCGCTTGTGGTTTTGGATGGGAGTCCAGTGTTATAAATAGTAAGGCACATTCTGGTCTTAGCTTAGTATCGACTCTCAACGCTCCCTTAACTGTTGCCTCCACCATGTTCCAGTATTCCTTAAGCCTTGGGCAGGTCCACCAAATGTGGTACATTGTGCCCTCTCCTGCTAAGCATCTCCAACATAGTTTGGAGGAGTTAGGGTAAATGGTCGCCAGTCTCGTTGGCACCAGGTACCATCTATATTGTATCTTGCGCATGAGCTCTAGGTGTGATGCGCATCTGGATCTGCCTTTATGGGCCGTAAAAGCCAGGGTCCATTGGTCATCTGTGAATATTGTACCTATGTCACTGTGCCATGCGTCTCTAAAATTGTCTGTCTGTAGTTGTTGGTTGGAGTCACTGAGCAGAGCATATAGTAGCGAGAGTGGTTTCTTAGGCATGGTCATCGATATACATGCTCTGTCTACACTTTGTGTATGTTGCGGTATGTTTAGGGAGGTGTCGTGTGTTAATATTCCCTTTAGTTGCAAGTATGAAAATATCATTCTTTGTGGCAGGTCGTATTCTACTTGTAGGTCTGGGAAGTGTCTCAGTTGTCCCTGCCCGTACAGGTGTCGAACTAGGGTACATCCTTTTGCCAACCACGTACGGTGGTCAAAAGCAGGGTATGCTAAATGTATGCTGTATATGGGAGTGGCCAGCGCCCAGTCGGTGTTGTATCCAAGTTTTGGCTTAGATTTATCCCAGGTTTTCAATAGGATATCAGTGGTTGCTGGTATTTCTGGGAGGGGTGGGCGTAGCCTGTGTGGTACCCAGAGGAGGTATTTAAGACCTTTGGGACAGGACCAGGTTGATTCCATTTCTATCCATTGTGGTGGGTTTTGGGCAGTGTGTGTTTGTAGGGCTGTGGTCATTAGTGCCGCTCTGTAGTACCTCTGTAGCTCTGGCATTCCCAACCCTCCCTGAGCTAGGGTTCTAGTGAGAATCTTCGTGGCTACACGTATTTTTTTGTGTGCCCAAACGAAGTTAGTGATGGTGCTTTGCAGCCGTCTCAAGTATGTGTTTGGTAGGGGGATCTGTAGAGTTCTAATTAAGTATTGAAATTTTGGTAGGAGCATCATCTTCACTGCCGCCAGTCTCCCCACCCATGACATATATTTGTCTTCCCATTTCTTCAGTGTGTCGCTTATTTCCCCCTGTAGTTTGCCATAGTTAAGGTCCAACAGACCTTGTGGAGTCTTTGGGATCCGTAGACCCAGAAACGTGAGGTGGTCCTCTCTCCAGTCTAATGGGAATGAGAGTTTTAGGTGGTCTATGGTGTGATGTGGTATCCCTATCCCCATAGCTTGGGTTTTCATGACATTTAATTTGTAGTATGATTGCTCCCCATATCTTTCTATTTCCTGCAGGAGATTTGGTAGTGATATGTGCGGTTGTGTAAGTGTGAGGAGTATGTCATCAGCGAACAAATTTGTTTTGTATTCTCTAGCTCCTATCTCCAAACCGTGGATCGCAGTGTTTTCCCGTATTTTGATCGCCAGCGGCTCCAGCGCTAGGACATATAACAGGGGGGACAAGGGGCAGCCCTGCCTCGTGCCATTCGTGAGTTGGAACGGTTCGGACAGGAATCCTGCGTTAATTACTCTTGCTGAGGGCTTGCTATATAGGGCCTGTACCACCGACACAAACCCCGAGGGGATCTCGAACTTGTGCAGCACTGCTCTAAGAAACCCCCAATGGAGGCGGTCAAAGGCTTTTTCGGCGTCGAGGGAGACCATCAGTCCCCCCCGTCGCCGATTTTTCAGGTGGTGGAGGATGTTAATAACCTTCCTGGTATTATCCGCCCCCTGTCTTCCCTTGATGAAGCCCACTTGGTCATTGTGGATTATGTGTGGTAGTATTTTTCCCAATCTGTTTGCGTATAGTTTGGCGAACAGCTTCGCATCTGTATTGAGGAGGGAGATGGGTCGAAAGTTTTGCGGAATTGTCGGGGCCTTGTTTGGTTTAGGGAGTGTGACGATGTGGGCGGCCAGTGTTTCTTTAGGGAGTTCGCCCTTGCGGGCTGCCTCCTTAAACATTCTGGCTAGGTAGGGCGCCAGTATTGTGCTGAATTGCTTATAGTACTGGTTGTCAAACCCATCTGGTCCTGGGGATTTACCCGATGGGAGGCCTTTAATTAGGTCCCTAATCTCCTGAATTTCTATCGGTTCAATAAGGGCCGACTGTTGTTGGGGTGTGAGCTTGGGTAATTTTACCCCTTCTAGGTATTCCTCAATACCAAGTTGTGTCGGGTGTTTTGTTTGCGCGTCTCCCTGTATGTTGTATAGTGATGAGTAGTATTTTGCAAATACTTCGCTTATACCCTTGGGAGTGGAGATTTTAGCGCCTGTTTCGTCTGTGAGATAAGATATTTTCTGAGCTGCCTGTCTTGTTTTTAGCCTCTGTGCCAGTAGTCTGCTTGCTTTGTTACCCTGTACGTAATGAGTTAGTTTGAGCTTTTGCATATTGGAGGTCACTGTGGCTAACGCCTGCTGGTGTATGAGTTTCGTGATCTGGGCTATCTTAGCTTTCGTCTCTGTAGACGGGGTGTGTTGGTTTAGTCTGTTCATCTCATACAGTTCTGCTTGCCATGTCCTAAGTTGTGTTTGGTGTGTCTTTTTTATGTACGTCGCCCTACGTATTAATAGGCCTCTAGCTACTGCTTTGTGGGCGAGCCAAAGAGTTGCGTCTGTGGTATCTTTTGTGTCATTTGTCTGGAAATATGTTTGAAGGCTCCCCTTCAGGGAGTCTACAAATTCACCATCCCTCAGTAGGGAATTATTTATTTTCCACGGGCTGCGATGTTTAAAATCGTACTTATTTTTTAGCTCTATGGTTACTGGTGCGTGATCTGACCATGTGATTTGCTGTATGTCACTATGAAGGAGTTGGTCTAACGCGGACCCTGAGATTAGAAAGCCGTCTATTTTAGAATAGGAATTATGTACCGCTGAGTAGTGGGTGTACGCTCTTTCTACCGGGTGAGTGGTTCTCCACGCATCGTATAGATGGTGGTCATGCAGGAGTTTCGCTATGGCTCTACATTGTCTCTTGAGGGGGCGATGGTGTTTCCGGTGTGGTGGGAGAGTTGTATCTAGTTGTGGGTCTATTATGTGATTAAAGTCTCCCCCTATTACTGTAATCCCCGTTTGGATGCGGTCTATTTTGGTCAGGATTTTATGCAAGAAATTCCTCTGGTTTGTGTTCGGGGAGTATATGTTGGCGATGGTATATAACATGTCATTAAACAGCCCCGTGAGTATAATGTAGCGGCCATTCGGGTCTATGTCAACTGAGTGTAGTGCAAATGAGATGGCTTTGTGTATTAGGATGGATGCTCCCTTTGTTTTCGTGGGTGATGTGGCGTGGAATTGATGTGGGAAATCGGCGGTAAGAATAGGTGGGTGGTCGTTGTGCTTAAAGTGGGTTTCCTGGAGGCACAGTATGTCTGCCCCTAGGGCTCTAGCCTCCCTGAAAAGTAGGTGTCTTTTGACTGGTGCGTTGAGGCCCCTGACATTAAGAGAGCAGATCTTCACGGTGGTTTATGGTAATGGTGCTTATTAATTCTCGCGCTGTAATCTATATTTTGAGGGGTCCCTGCTCTCCCTAGCTGTGTCGAGCTGAGCAGTGTGGCTCCCCGTGTGATGGGCATTGTCCCTGTTGGGCTTGTAGAACAGTCTGGGACCGTGGTCTCGTCTGTTATTGGTCTCCCTAGTATTCGCGTGGCGGTTCGTGTTGGGTTACCCACTAACCCTATCTTCTGTTCGTTGGTAAAACCCCAAACTTGTGGGGTATAAACATTGCATACAACAACATACAGTAAAACAATAACATTAACAAAAATATTTACATGTGTATACGTATCCCTTGTTAGTGCCGGTAGGTCGGCTAGGCACTGCCTGGTCGTGCCTTGGGGGAAGAGGTTCATTACCTCTTGTCCAATGGGAGCTCTCTCCCTCTGCGGCTATTACTATTTTTCACGTTGGGAGGTCCCAACTGTAGACTATAGCCTAGGAAAATGAAACTGGTTGTGTGTAACAACATGTTGCTTGTGCTATTAAATTTTTTTTTTTATTATTATTATTTTATTTTATTTTTTTATAATAGCTTTAGTTTGGCCCAGTTCCCCTGCGTCTATGTTAGGTATATGTTAAGAGAATGCGTGTGGGTGTCCCCATGACTGATCCCCTCTGAATCGGCAGGTAAGTTATGCTGACGTGGTTCGACCCTTTAGTCTGGGTGGGGGCTAATAGGCTATGTTTTCAATTCTTTTGGTCCCTCTGTTCTATAGTATAGATTCCCCCACCTATCCCCTTGCTCAATCTGGAGCATTTAAGTTACCCTATGGGTGTGATGTGGTGTCGTACATTACCCTGCCTCTCGGTAGGTAGTCTTGGGCTCTTAAGGTGTTGTAGAGCACTCCCACCCACAGTCTCTGTCTTTTATCTCTTTTTCGCCTTCTTCCATTCTTGTGAGGCCTTGGCTCTGTTTCTCCCCTGGTCCGTCGACGGAGCAATTTCCATGTTCCAATCCCGCATGATTCGCTGGCCGTCCTCCGGGGTTCCGATGATAGTGGTCTTCCCCTCTCTCATCACCAGGAGCTTGGTGGGGTAGCCCCATCTGTACGGGATGTGGTTGTCTCTGAGCTGTGTGGTGATGTCTCGGAAGTCTCTCCGTCTCTTTAGGGTGAATGAGGAGATGTCCGCATATATGGTAACCCCTCTGTAGGCCGTGGGCCAGTCTTTCCGTCGCCTGCTAGCGTTAAGTATGGCTTCTTTAGCGTGATAATAGTGCATTCGTAGCAGGATGTCTCTTGGAGTGTCTGCTGGTAGGAATTTTGGTTTGGCGGTTCTGTGGATTCTGTCTAACAGGAACAAGTCTTGTGGCAGGTCTGGAGCCAGTTCTTTCAGCAGGCCTGTAATGTGGGCGGTGAGGTCTTCTGTTTTTACCTCTTCCGTGACTCCCCTTACTCGTAAGTTGTTGCGGCGTGCCCGGTCCTCCATATCCGCAATCTTGAGGTCCTGGTTATCCAGTCTTGTTACCAGCCCCTCTACCGTATCAGCTAGGGAGTTATGGGCCTCTGCCATCTCCGAGATTTGGTCCTCTGTATGTGAAGTACGTCGGCCTATATCTTGAAGTTCCCTTCTGAGATCTTTGATAACGCTGTCCATTTTCCCCACAATCTTATCTGACATTTCCTCCAGCAGTTTTTTCAGAGTGCTGTGTGTCAGTGGGTTGTCACTTTCATTTTCACCAGCCTGGGTCTCTGTTTCCAGTTCCCCTCCGGCGCCATCTTGTGGGTGCTCTGCCTGGAGTGAGGCCTTCCCCTGCCCTGCTCTGGAGGCAAAGAAGCTGCTCCTCTCTCCCCTCTCGCCGGTCCTCTTACTTTTTGGCTGGGACATTGTGGCGTCGGGCGGCAGCAGGGTCTGATCCGAGGCTATTTTGTGTTATTTATGGCTCCTGTTTAGCCGTCGCGGCACGGAGCTCGAGCTACATGCGGCTGCTCCGGTCCGCGTCCAGGACACGCCCCCCTAAAATAGTTTTTTTTTTTAATCAGTAACAGACTTAGAAATATATATCATACCTCTGTATTATAACAGCCCTACGATAAAGGATATCAGGATCAGTGGCCTCCAGCCGTGGGTATCGTACCAGGTTGGAAGGTTGAAACATGTCGGCAGTGAGTCCCAAATCTCTTTCCTTTGAAGATTTTATTTTTATTCCCCGGATCCGCACATCGATACCTTCATCTACAGACACAGAGAATATATTGGGAATCGCTAAACAGCAAGATGGAATGACTAGGAACAAAAGGTCCCAGACTGTCATACACTATGGGGATAAAAGGTCCCAGACTGTCATACACTATGGGGATAAAAGGTCCCAGACTGTCATACACTATGGGGATAAAAGGTCCCAGACTGTCATACACTATGGGGATAAAAGGTCCCAGACTGTCATACACTATGGGGATAAAAGGTCCAAGACTCCCATACACTATGGGGATAAAAGGTCCCAGACTGTCATCCACTATGGGGATAAAAGGTCCCAGATTGCCATACACTATGGGAATAAAAGGTCCCAGACTGCCATACACTATGGTGATAAAAGGTCCCAGACTGTCATCCACTATGGGGATAAAAGGTCCCAGACTGCTATACACTATGGGAATAAAAGGTCCCAGACTGCCATACACTATGGTGATAAAAGGTCCCAGACTGCCATACACTATGGGAATAAAAGGTCCCAGACTGCCATACACTATGGGAATAAAAGGTCCCAGACTGCCATACACTATGGGGATAAAAGGTCCCAAACTGTCATACACTATGGGGATAAAAGGTCCCAGACTGCCATACACTATGGTGATAAAAGGTCCCAGACTGTCATCCACTATGGGGATAAAAGGTCCCAGACTGCTATACACTATGGGAATAAAAGGTCCCAGACTGCCATACACTATGGGAATAAAAGGTCCCAGACTGCCATACACTATGGGAATAAAAGGTCCCAGACTGCCATACACTATGGGAATAAAAGGTGCCAGAGTGTCATACACTATGGAGTAAAAGGTTTACGTTATTAAAGTGATATTAATAAAGGGTCACTTACCGAAGCACTCCATAATTCGAACCTCTACGACTGGCAGATGACAGGTCATGTCTTCCAAGACGCAAACATCTCCTATTACATTACTGTCAAAGAGGAAATTACAAACTGTTAGTTTGGTCATGTTTAAACGGAGTTAAAATAATCAAATTAGGAATTAACCTCTTCTACATTCATAATGAAAACAAAGAAAGTAAGAAGAATTCAGTCTCTTTGTATCGCGTGAAAAGAAAAATAGATGCTTTATCCAGCTAACGTGCGGACATTGAGTGCACTCAAGCTGAACGCTGCTCTGAGTAACTGATGGGTGACAACACATCACATTATTTATTTTAAAGTTAGTGGGCCTAAACCTTAAACTGTAGGATCTCACTTTCAAGAGGAACACCCTATTTCCTATGTTTTAAAGGAGTTTGTCTAGCAGTAGCATGGGAATGCAAGCTGATTTGCATGAAATACCGGTTCTGGTGCCAAGGCAGGAATAAGAGTGACAGAGTAAATTATAGAAATAAACTTACCATATTGTCAAGTTCCTTGGGGAACCATCGCAGCAATCTAAGGGGCAACTCTGACCCGTTTACCTTTGTGAATGCCCATAGTGATAGCTGAACCATAATCACAATTATAGAGTTCCTGTGCGATAATTGTTGTAGAACGGGTATCAATGTCCCCAGGTATGGCATGAAAAGTACGCACATACTTACTCATCTATGGTAACGTCACTGATCTTCTTTAGGGTCTCCCTTTCACCACCGTAAACCACAACTCGTTTAGGCATGTAGTTTTCATCCGTGGAATCAACAGTAATCAGCAGCTTCCTGTGGGCATGAAGAGAGGGACAGTTAAACCTTTAACAGTGGGGGAAAAGGCAATTTTAGATTACTCAAGGAATATCTAATAGAAGCATTAGATTTTTTAGAAAAAAATCCTTTAATATGACGATGTACGTGCACAATGCATGATGCAAACAGAGAAATCCACAGATACATCTGAAGTGAAGCATCTTATTTTAGAGGCTGTGAGGCTGTGGGGGAAAGACAGTTTAGTTACATTAGAAAAGTCGACCAATGGCAAAGTCCTGTTCTGGCCAAGGATCATGAGAATGGAAATTCGATAAGAGCTGGAGAACAACAGAATGGCAACCTAGCCCCGTACAGTATAGCTATATGATCTATATATCCTTGGCTTTCTTTACAGGTGTAAGCCAATGAAGAGATCTCAGGAAATAACCACAAAGTCGAGACATCCTGCTAGGTCGCCAGGATAAATAAAAGGACAGATTTGTTAGATACGGATCGCTTATAATGCAGACAGCTCGGCATGGTTTAAAAAATAAAATAAAATATGGAAACAGACTTGAACTTCCTGATGCACTAACTCCTCTCATTGACCCCGAAGTGTTGGACAGGCGGGACACACAATGCCGGGCACTGCAAGGCACTCATGCACAGATTAACAGATAAAATCAGGTCTGCTGTTGGCACAGTAACAGTAAGACTTAGCTGTTCCTACTTAACGATGGTGCCTTCCTTCATAAGGAGCTGGATCCAATGCTGCCCATGGGATCCATCACTTTCCCAGAATGTTTCGTGGAATCCATCTGTCAGACACGCCACATTGTTTTCATCCTGGAAACGAGAGATTTTTTGTTTATATTCCCCAGAATTACGATACATGCTATAACATCTACCACTCCAGAGCTCTTACAGTTTTGATTAATTTAAATACATTGGTGACGCACTATTTACTGATATTTGTTAAGATTTACTGGAGCACCAGTCAGAAAATGCTAAAATTATTTATTTCACCAACAGAGGAAGAAGCAGCAAAACTGGAGCTATCTGAGCCTTCAGTAAGATTAAAATTAACCATCGAAATCCAGAGCCAGTTAACATAATCTGCAGACAGACATGGAGTTACGAAAATACCGTCACATAGAAAGCCTGGAAGAAGGAAGGTGTACACGAACTAAACGGAGAATCTTGGAAAACTAAAATGGGATGGCAAATATTGGACCAAAATAGCCAATATGGGAATTTCTCAAATGTGGCTATTTTTTTAAATCGGCTAGTTTGGTGTCAAATGTGGAATTCCCTAGTAAGTTCTATGCAATTCAGAATTTAGTGAACAAACACTAGCCTAGACTGTCATCTGTAAGAGAAAAATTTTTTTCTGTTCCTTGAGGGTATATCTAGGTTGCTTCAAAGTCACTGGTCCAGTTCAACGTATTCTAGACCTTTCTAGAGAAGTTCTAAAATAAATCAAGTAATAGTACAGATCTATTTATGTAGTGACGGCCGGGCATTCAATGTGAGTCACTTCTCCAGCACTGCGTCTGTTCCAAGGAGTCACAGTTAACTCACAGGTGGTTTTAAGAGGACTCAAGTGCTCCGAGAAATAAAACTAAAAGCCATGTGAGAGCAATGCCCCCTCTGCCTGGTAGTAAATAGCCATGTGAACAAATGATTTTCAGTGGGTATCAACGAAAAATGCCTTTAAAACTTTGCCCTAATGAATCTATCTGTCCGTGGCTAGCTCAGAGCAGAGAACCTCCAGCTCTCACAGAGGCAGAGACCAATACCGCTAGAAACCATTATCAAACGGGGCACTCCTGGCACCATAACTAGTAAAGAAGCGTTACTTTAATAAGCAGCGTTGTTTGATTGTATAACAAACACAAAATACAAAATGTATTAAAACTATTCCATGTACATGACTACTGAATAAAATTGTTTCAATACAAATTGTGTAAATATGAATATTGTTTATATCACTTGGTAAGTGCGCCCACTTCCCGCATCATATCATTATTTAAATTACTATCCTGATCTGTGACATTGGGAACTCCATCGTCAGATGAAGACCGGGGAAATACTGTGTACATTAACAAAGCGCAGGTGGGCACACCCGATAAAATAGTCGTCACCATTAGATAAGAAAAATGAATGAAAGTCAAGGTGCTCACTCCAAAAGCCCCATTTCCAAGAGGCTATACATATAATCATATAATACTAGAAGGAGGAGCACAACTGAGTAAAACACAAAAAAGCTTTATTACACAAAAAACAACACACGTATAACAGGTATCAGCATAGATATTGAAGAATTGGAAATGTTAAAACATCTCTATCCAATATGCAAGTAATAATTGCAGATAAAGTCAAAATAGGAAAAAAAAAAACAGTATTGATCAAAAAATGATCCAATAAAAGTGGTATAACCACTAATTCAGAGCAACACTATATTAGATATCTGTGTATACTGATAAACAAAAAGATACACACCAAGAACAACAGGAAATATGAGAGGAGGGTACAGGCATCAAATACCAAAAATAGCCCCCAACGTTTCGGCAAATTCGCCTTCATCAAGGGAGCATCTTGGGGAAATACCGTGTACCGACAGGTCATCCAACACTGCCCGTTCCCTAAAAATGCCTGATATAAGGGAATACCCTATATAAAGCACTTGCTGGTATATTCTCCCTTCTTACAATAAAGGCGCATAGAGTAACTGCAGTAAAGTTAAGGAATGTTTTGTATAGATGTCGGTGGTTGATTTTAAGTACATCCATTGGACAATATGAGATGGAGTCACATCGAATCGCTCCTCACCTTGCTGCATGGAATTATCTAGGTTGTTATACATAACGTGCTCACCTGAGTTGTCATATTTAGACAGGTGAGCAATGGCATTCCTGGTGCCTGCAGCACGCACTAAAAATGAGTTGTGCTCAGTGCATTGGACAATACTCCACACTCGCACCTCATCACACCTTAGTACATCTTGCTTAGGATTTGCTATGAAATTCATCACCCTCTCTAGGCTGCAGCTGGCCCATGCTGCCACTGTAAACGATTCTTTAGACCTTTATGAATCACATTGACAGACTTTTAAACAGGCCCCTACATAATGTCCACAAGTCCCAGTCCTAAAATGACAGTGAGCAGCCAGTAGCCCCCATACCGTGGACGATGAAACATTGATACTCTCCACAAACTGCTTCATGTTTCCAAGGGTCTCATCCTCCTTCCCCATGTGATCAAACAGGAAATGGACTAAATCTTCATCACATTCATAGGACCAGGAGGCAGGCAGGTATCTGTAGAAAGGAATACATTAATTCACATGGCCCAGTATCTCCCACTGACATCAGAAGAAAGGCCAGCTTAGGGGGCTCACAGTAAAGAGATGTATATAATATAGAAACATAGAATGTGATGGCAGATAAGAACCATTCGGCCCATCTAGTCTGCCCAATTTTCTAAATACTTTCATTAGTCCCTGGCCTTATCTTATAGTTAGGATAGCCTTATGCCTATCCCACGCATGCTTAAACTCCTTTACTGTGTTAACCTCTACCACTTCAGCTGGAAGGCTATTCCATGCATCCACTACCCTCTCAGTAAAGTAATACTTCCTGATATTATTTTTAAACCTTTGTCCCTCTAATTTAAGACTATGTCCTCTTGTTGTGGTAGTTTTTCTTCTTTTAAATAAAGTCTCCTACTTTACTGTGTTGATTCCCTTTATGTATTTAAATGTTTCTATCATATCCCCCCTGTCTCATCTTTCCTCCAAGTTATACATGTTAACAATGTATTACATTTCCCCGTAGAGGTGACATAGAGATGGATGTGACAAAGTAACTGAAGCAATAAATAAATGAAAGGACTATGTGACAGTCAAGCCCTGAGGTCAGTAATGGGGTGCCAAGTCTTGCCATTACTAATCTAAATGTTAACCTGGGACAAATCATCTAGTTCAACGAATGCTGGCAGTGACTTGCAACCTGCGTGTCTGGGATGAAATGTGGAGGATTGCAGGTCGATGGGGAGAAAGCAAAGTGTCTATGGAAAAAGAGCTGGTGTCAGACAGACTGATAAGGGAACCTTGTCAGCTTATTCACTAAAGTGAAAATTAAAAATGAACGTCAAATTTAAGGCCAGAGTAGCCGACTTGAAAGCATGATTTCGAGAATTTTTCCAGCTCGGCTATTTGGACCTTATATTTGAAATTCATTCTGAATTCTCATTTTAGTAAATAACCATGTGTCCTTTAGAGAAACGAGGATAATTTAAACATGTTCCAAAGAGAAAGGTAAAACTAAGGGGGCGGTTCTGTCTAGGAGAAGGGTGGCGGTGGGTGAGAGGTCCACACCCAGTTAGTGTGGGCACTAAACGTGTGCCCCCTATTGACAGTGTGATGATAAAGGGGGTGAGAGATGTTTCTTATTCTGCTAGTGGTGGGTTATTGGTCTCCCCGTCTAATGGCCGGTTAGAAGATGGAAAGATCACAAGGTACTACCTCAGTTTCTGCACGGCTTCCTCATCCGGAGGGGTGATTCTGGGTTTCTCACCTAAATGCTTGGAGTAAACTATGTCCACAACGTCCTCCCACCTACAAATGGAACAGGCTAGAATCAGATATAGACATGTGAAAGCAGGGTTATTAAACAGCAAGCCTGAGGGGTGCGTGGCCCTCAATATTTATCATCGAGACCCCAGCCTGCCTGAAGAAGGAACTGTCACTCCCAGAGAATAACCGGTTCCTTGTTCCTTCACCACAATGAACAATATGTCAGCATTTACTGGGGTGAATAATGCAGCTGAGGTAAATAAAAAAAAACATATTTACCCCCACAGCACATAGGTGTTGCAGTGACTTTGCCATCCCATGATGCCTCAGGTTCAGAAACCCACACGTACACCTGCACCAGGTGTATGGCAAAGCAAGAGTTAACTAATGTACATACTTTAACTGGCTTTACACAGCAAAGCATGCAAATTAAATAAGATAATTTTTTTTTTTTTTAACAAAATCTTGTTGTTAAAACCTCCAGACTCAGACATGAAATATAGGAGATTTAGTTAGAGGATACCATCATACATTGTATCAGCTTGCCACAACACTGATGTACCATGGTCTATGCCAAACTAATGCCAGTTCTCACTAGATTAATGGAACACTCCGTTGATTTTTTTATATCAGTAGATAGATCTCCAAATAAAACACTTATGGATTCTTTTTTTCTGCAAGTTTTATTGTGGGTATATAAAAATAAAGCAACTTGCAAAAGCTGAAGACATGATGTCTGCAGCATTCTGCTCTTTCCCAAAAATACAGCAATCAGAGGCTTCTCACCACTCAATATATATATAGCCATCCTAAAAGTAACTCTGTAACACACATGTGGCCATTTACCTGCTCATGGGCCGGTAATTCATTCCAAAAATCTGCTGCTGCCTGGTCGTTTTATCTGTAGACTCCACAGGTACCAGCCTGTCACCCCCTTCATCCAGCCGGCAGAGCAGGACCCAGCCCTCTGCCATGTCACAGCTACTCCTGAATTCCTCCATCTGCTCCTGCACAGAGACACAAAGGGGCAGATTCAGTCACTCTGATTAGGGTTTTATAGAATAAACAGGGAATAGGCAGACAAAGCATGGCTTACGGTGTAACAGAGTCCGCCAACTTAGCTACTGCTTGGTTATTTTAACCAACATTTCTAGTGAATAAACATTTCAGTTTCATTAAAGAGACACTATAGTCACCAAAACAACTTTAGCTTAACAAAGTAGTTTTGGTGTATATATCATGTCTCACTGCTCAATTTTCGCCTGTTTCGGAGTTAAATCCCATTTATTTTACAGCCCTAGCCACACCTCCCTGCTTGTGACTTTCACAGCCTTCCTAACACTTTCTGTAAATAGAGATCTAATGTTTATACTTCCTGTTTAATTTCTTATCTCCATTAATAGCTTGCTAGATACAGCAGCAGTCTCCTGAGTGTGACTTGTGATTAACTGAGCCTCGTCACGTGTTCTTGGAGGGGCCTGCGGGCCAGCCTCTTACCAAAAGACTATGGGCCCTTTCAAAAACTATGTGAACAGACTTGTTTCGTGGGATTTTATATTTGGTACGGGAACCGAAAAGCCGCACGAACTGGAGACCACCCTGGAGCTTGTTAATCCTAATTGCTACTGTGTAGCAATTTCCACCAAAGTGTTCTAAGTGTTCGTCTGGGTGGACGCAATTCCTATGGATGACCACAAGGTGGTGGCCATCTTGTTCCCGCAAACGCAGAGAGCGGTGTTTGGGCATGAATCTCATGTAACTGAAAACGCACTGTAGCGGATGGCATTGGGCTGTCCTCAAAGTTCATTTTAAAAATGCATTTCGTGTAATTATTCCCATGTATAGCTGTATTGTATGTAGCATTCGGCTGATTGTTTGGTAGTTTTCATTCCGTGTTCCATACAAATGAAAACTACTGAACCATCAGACCACCCCACCTCGTTGAGCTTTCACACTCTGTAATCGCAAACTAATTGACCATGCAATCGTTACTTTGTATATATCTGGGTGGTCACCGTTCGGCATATGAGCCGCATGGCGGCGGCCATCTTACGCAAGAAAATCTCAGCGGTGTTTGGTCGTCGAGTGTCTGGAACTCAAATAGTACACTCAATTACCCGAACACCGCTGAGACCGCCAGAGCTCCGAAACTCCCGAACGGATGGGCCAACCAGCCCCTCGTTCGGTAAAATAAATATCCCGAACAAGGGAATTCATACGAATACCGATTTAACTTTGGATGGCAAGTATTTCTATGTATTTTATCTCCCGAACAGAGACCGACCACAAGGCCAAAACACACAGAGCCTTTTTCGGATACTGCCTCGTGTGCGGTCGGTCAAATTGCCTCTTCCACCTAACTCCCGAACCCCTGGTCCGATCTAGGTGAATTTTGAATATGTTAGTCGCCCAGATCAGGGCTACCAGGGGTACCCATTATATAATTCTGACTGTTTTGGGGTACATCCAGAAATCGGGTAAAACTGCAGTAGGTATAAGTGGATTATGTGTCACATTGAGGGGAGGATATGTGTGGGAGGTAACAGTTACACTATTGGATACTGTACTAATTAATGTGAATCCCTCCCTTGCATGGGAGAAAGCTTTAAAAGAAGGTTGTGTGATTAATAGTTCAGTTCTGCTCCTGATGCTGTGTGTCGTCCAGTCATTGGGATCTATATTGGGATATTCGCGGATTACTTTACTTGCTGTGACTATTGTTTTATGGGATTTTATTACTTGTTCCTGAGCCTCACAGGGATCTTTAGTGGAGATAACCTGGGAAAGACCAGCTCTCCGCTACACGGACACAAACTCCCGAACACCGTTGGACTTCCAGCATCGCCTGCATTCGGTTCTACAATACTTAGAAAGACACTGTTCGGTGGAAACGTTCCCACGAACAAGGGGATCAAGCTCCAGTGTAACACTATTGACTCTGTTCGGTAGTTTGTTCGTTTTTAAACTACCAAACTAAACAGACAGCAAGCCCTGATTCTATGGAACTGTTTTCGGCATGGGACCATGCGGGCGATCGGTCAAATTATGGCTTCCAGGAAATTCCTGAACCCCTGAACTGATCTGGGTGACCTTTGGATATGTTGGTCACCCTGTTCAGGGCTCTTGGGTGATGTAACTTTTGTGGGGGGTTTGTGTGTTTTAATGTATTTTGGAGGTTTTGTAAAAATGTATATTTTCTGTGCCTGGAGATAATTGAGTTTAGTACAGTGCTTGACTCAATTATCTCCCGGGCATAGGGGAGGGATTGACCTATTTTGTTGGAGTGTCCTGGACCCGAGAGCCAATGTAATTGTGTATATGTTTTTTGTCTACTCTAGGGGGGAGCGCACCTTGCATGGGAACCTGCATATAAGGCCAGTTGTGGCTGCCATTAAAGAGATTTGTTTTACCATTCATGAAGGCTAGGCTCATGTTTGGGGGATTGGAGAGCAATATTCACTCTGGGGATTGCTATAATCACTATACTCCCTTGGATCACAATGATTGCTCTTGTAAGAGCAGCCTACTTCGCTCTCTGGACTAGGAAAGATCTACCCACTGGAAGCTGGATCCTGGTCTAGGGTTCAGGTTGGGTGGAGGACAGCGAAACCCCAACCAAGCTGCTGTGGTTTGTGGGGCTTACGGTGGTTTTGGTGTCCGGTGCGGTGCTTATGGTACACAAGGATTACTAGGAAGCAGCGATTGACGGAGGTACCCAGTCGGGGTGCCAGGCGGTCCGCCACAGTCTTAAGTATAATTTACAGAGCAGGAGATTTAAAAAAATGTAAGTAATTTCGGCATTTCGGATCTGGACTGCATTTCGGATCTGGACTGCCCATATTGGTGGGACCAGTCTGATATGCTTCAGATATGTTCTCTCTGTAATGGCACAAGATGAGCTAAAACCAGCTTGAGTTCTGAGCGGGGACCCACCGAAGGGCAGGCTATTTCAGCTGCTGTCCGTTCTCAGAATACTCTTGCGACCCGTTTTTTGCTCTACATAAGTTTAAAGGGTAATCCAGACGTGGACCCCTTGCTCACGGTGCCTAGAAAGATATCAGCTATGCCTCACCGATGATGCCTAACAAGGCCGAAACGATCGTCTGGGGTTGCTGTATCTCTCGTGCATAGAGAACTTGCTGGCATTTCGGATCTGGACTGCCCGTATGGGTGGGACCAGTCTGATATGCTTCAGATATGTTCTCTCTGTAATGGCACAAGATGAGCTAAAACCAGCTTGAGTTCTGAGCGGGGACCCACCGAAGGGCAGGCTATTTCAGCTGCTGTCCGTTCTCAGAATACTCTTGCGACCCGTTTTTTGCTCTCATCTAATTAAAATTGAAACCATTTTTTTTTTCATGCAGGCTGTGTCAATCACAGCCATGGAGGTGTGGCTAGGGCTGCATAAACAGAAACAAAGTGATTTAACTCCTAAATGGCAGAGAATTGAGCAGTGAGGCTGCAGGGGAATGATCTATACACTAAAACTGCTTTATTAAGTTATTTTGGCGATAAGAGAGTCCCTTTAACCCCTTAAAGATGAAACTTCTGGAATAAAAGGGAATCATGACATGTCACACATGTCATGTCACATATGTTATGTGTCCTTAAGGAGTTAATAGGAAACTTCATTGTTTAACATTAATTATATATGTGTCCCATAAAATGAGAACCTCTTGTTTTATAAAAGTGTGTTGTGTATATATACGTAGTGCTCAAAGCCTCACCTTGCTAAGTTTCACCCATAACCCATTGGCATTGCAGTATTCCTCGCCTGTGGCTCGCACACAGCTTCCTTTGCGGACTTCGATGGTGCCTCGTGACAGCTTCTTAAGGTTCTGCTTAGCGAATCCAGGAGCCTCCCAGACTGTCAGCAAGCACCGGGCAGAAGACGAGCTGCTCGGGTCCTTGCAAACCTTGTATTGTACTTCTCCGGGGACGTAACACAAGGCATCAGGCAGAGGATGCGCACGTCGGAAGCAGTCAATACATTCCAATACACAGCGGATTTGGCCAAGGAGCCGGCGAGGATTATCCGAGGTCTGCATTTCCAGGGCTTACGAGAACCCCTGGATATAAAAGAAAATGTCCAGATAAAAATGCTTATGAGATTAGAGTAAAGCAGTTCTCACAAACTGATCAGAAAGCACCAATTCTACTGACAAACGTAAAACTATTAAACATACATATTAAAATTGCACCTATTCCTGGGTTTATTTACTAAGATGATAAAATATGGATGCCATGTCTACAAAAACACCTTTGGCTACCGATGTGCCAGTGCTCTATTTTCATATTGCTTATTCTATATATAAAACCCAATACAAGCCATACCACATTCTTCCAGTTGATCTTCTGCTAGATTCCCACCATTCATCTGGCACCACAAGCTTATCATCACACCTTCCCTGTGCCCCCTCTGTTCCGCTTTCTCTCTCTCTCCTTTCAGTCCCTTTTCAGAACAAACTCTTATCACATCTTATCTGCCACCTCCCTAATGACCATCCTTGACCTTTCATAGAGCAAATTCATCTCCTAAAAGCATTATCAACAGTCCTTAATACTTCAGCTCATCTGACCAAAATCACAACTATCCATTAGTCCATCACATCTAACCACCAGTCCTCGTCAATCCAACACATCTGACCACCAACCACCATTCCTTGTCAGTCCATCGCATCTGATCACCAACCACCATTCCTTGTCAGTCCAACATATTTGACCACCAACCACCAGTCCCCTTCAGTCCATCACATCTGACCACCAACCACCAGTCCCCGTCAGTCCAACACATCTGACCACCAACCACCAGTCCTCGTCAGTCCAACACATCTGACCACCAACCACCAGTCCATGTCAGTCCAACACATCTGACCACCAACCACCAGTCCCCGTCAGTCCAACACATCTGACCACCAACCACCAGTCCATGTTAGTCCAACAAATCTGACTACCAACCACCAGTCCCTGTCAGTCCAACACATCTGACCACCAACTACCAGTCCCCGTCAGTCCAACACATCTGACCACCAACCACCAGTCCCCGTCAGTCCAACACATCTGACCACCAACCACCAGTCCCCATCAGTCCAACACATCTGACCACCAACCACGAGTCCTCGTCAGTCTGACCACCAACCACCAGTCCCAAACAGTCCCACACAACTGACCACTAACCACCAGTCCAATACATTTGGCCACCTCCCTCCAGTCCACATTAGTTCAATACATCTGACCGACCTCCTCCTACCGGTCCATCATATCTCACTCTTTCCTGCCATTACAGACAGTCAATACCTCAGTTATTCTTTCACCACTCCCCTTCAGTCCAATATATCTGACTCCCACTAAAAGTCAAAGAGAGACCAATACATTTGACGTCATCTGAGACCAGCACATTCAACCTCATTACTTAATCCCAGTATCCATGTCTCTTCGCCAGTACACCCAGCATGACAATCTCTACCTCCAGTTATGGTTAACTCTTGATTCCAGGGCTCTGTGTGTTCTATAATCAATAGACTCATTAACACCACTTAAGTAAAGTTCTCTCAGCAGGCGATCTCTGTGTAAGAAACATTAAACAGATAAAAGGTCAGGCCAAGGTTTACAAAGGGCATGTTATGATACCAGAGGGTGTGGTGCCCTGAGACAATGGCTGGAGATTTACTGAAATCTAAACAATGAAGGTATCAGATTATTTATGGGACCTGAATGCCAGTGAAGGGGTAATGGAGACATATTAAACCACGAGATAGAAGGATGAGATTTTTAGGATTGTGCCCTAACACACAGTAAGCATTAAATGTTTTTATATCCCACACAGCAGCTACAATGTGAAGTCCCTCTCCCCCTTATATAGAGCAGAGAGAGTCACAGAGCCTCACATATCACAATCAGAAGTGGAGAATTGTGGAACTTCCACGAATCTCAGACAGACAGACACGTGTGTCCTGAAATTAAGGGCCCCCACTATGCAGCCTGTCACACACAGTATTAAGTTGTTTTTTATCCAAGTATAATTATTATTTTTTACACATTAGACCAGGGTTAGATAAATCTCTTTATATCACAACAAATCAGCAATGGCACTGGTCCATCATGGGCTAAGTCCATTTTCCACCAAACCTCACAATTAAAAAAACACACAGTCAGTATATGTATATATACCTCTCAGTATACACACAGTCAGTATATATAGCTCTCAGTATACACACAGTCAGTATATGTATATAGCTCTCAGTATACACACAGTCAGTATATGTATATATAGCTCTCAGTATACACACAGTCAGTATATGTATATATAGCTCTCAGTATACACACAGTCAGTATATGTAGTATATAGCTCTCAGTATACACACAGTCAGTATATGTATATAGCTCTCAGTATACACACAGTCAGTATATGTATATATAGCTCTCAGTATACACACAGTCAGTATATGTATATAGCTCTCAGTATACACACAGTCAGTATATGTATATATAGCTCTCAGCTCTCAGTATACACACAGTCAGTATATGTATATATAGCTCTCAGTATACACACAGTCAGTATATGTATATATAGCTCTCAGTATACACACAGTCAGTATATGTATATATAGCTCTCAGTATACACACAGTCAGTATATGTATATATAGCTCTCAGTATACACACAGTCAGTATATGTATATAGCTCTCAGTATACACAAAGTCAGTATATGTATATAGCTCTCAGTATACACAAAGTCAGTATATGTTGCTCTCAATATACACACAGTCAGTATATGTATATAGCTCTCAGTTTACACACAGTCAGTATATGTTGCTCTCAGTATACACACAGTCAGTATATGTATATATAGCTCTCAGTATACACACAGTCAGTATATGTATATATAGCTCTCAGTATACAGACAGTCAGTATATGTATATAGCTCTCAGTATACACACAGTCAGTATATGTATATAGCTCTCAGTATACACACAGTCAGTATATGTATACACACACAGTCAGTATATGTATATATAGCTCTCAGTATACAGACAGTCAGTATATGTATATAGCTCTCAGTATACACACAGTCAGTATATGTATATAGCTCTCAGTATACACACAGTCAGTATATGTATACAGCTCTCAGTATACACACAGTCAGTATATATATATATAGCTCTCAGTATACACACAGTCAGTATATGTATATATAGCTCTCAATATACACACAGTCAGTATATGTATATATAGCTCTCAGTATACACACAGTCAGTATATGTTGCTCTCAGTATACACACAGTCAGTATATGTATACAGCTCTCAGTATACACACAGTCAGTATATGTTGCTCTCAGTATACACACAGTCAGTATATGTATATAGCTCTCAGTATACACACAGTCAGTATATGTATATAGCTCTCAGTATACACACAGTCAGTATATGTATATATAGCTCTCAGTATACACACAGTCAGTATAGTATATATATGTATATATAGCTCTCAGTATACACACAGTCAGTATATGTATATAGCTCTCAGTATACACACAGTCAGTATATGTATATAGCTCTCAGTATACACACAGTCAGTATATGTTGCTCTCAATATACACACAGTCAGTATATGTATATAGCTCTCAGTTTACACACAGTCAGTATATGTTGCTCTCAGTATACACACAGTCAGTATATGTATATATAGCTCTCAGTATACACACAGTCAGTATATGTATATATAGCTCTCAGTATACAGACAGTCAGTATATGTATATAGCTCTCAGTATACACACAGTCAGTATATGTATATAGCTCTCAGTATACACACAGTCAGTATATGTATACAGCTCTCAGTATACACACAGTGTATATATAGCTCTCAGTATACACACAGTCAGTATATGTATATATAGCTCTCAATATACACACAGTCAGTATATGTATATATAGCTCTCAGTATACACACAGTCAGTATAGCTCTCAGTATCTCAGTATACACACAGTCAGTATATGTATAGCTCTCAGTATACACACAGTCATGTATACAGCTCTCAGTATACACAGTCAGTATATGTATATAGCTCTCAGTATACACACAGTCAGTATATGTATATAGCTCTCAGTATACACACAGTCAGTATATGTATATAGCTCTCAGTATACACACAGTCAGTATATGTATATATAGCTCTCAGTATACACACAGTCAGTATATGTATATATAGCTCTCAGTATACACACAGTCAGTATATGTTGCTCTCAGTATACACACAGTCAGTATATGTATATATAGCTCTCAGTATACACACAGTCAGTATATGTATATAGCTCTCAGTATACACACAGTCAGTATATGTATATAGCTCTCAGTATACACACAGTCAGTATATGTATATATAGCTCTCAGTATACACACAGTCAGTATATGTATATAGCTCTCAGTATACACACAGTCAGTATATGTATATAGCTCTCAGTATACACACAGTCAGTATATGTATATAGCTCTCAGTATACACACAGTCAGTATATGTATATATAGCTCTCAGTATACACACAGTCAGTATATGTATATAGCTCTCAGTATACACACAGTCAGTATATATAGCTCTCAGTATACACACAGTCAGTATATGTATATATAGCTCTCAGTATACACACAGTCAGTATATATAGCTCAGCTCTCAGTATACACACAGTCAGTATATGTATATAGCTCTCAGTATACACACAGTCAGTATATGTATATAGCTCTCAGTATACACACAGTCAGTATATGTATATAGCTCTCAGTATACACACAGTCAGTATATGTATATATAGCTCTCAGTATACACACAGTCAGTATATGTATATAGCTCTCAGTATACACACAGTCAGTATATGTATATAGCTCTCAGTATACACACAGTCAGTATATGTATATATAGCTCTCAGTATACACACAGTCAGTATATGTATATAGCTCTCAGTATACACACAGTCAGTATATGTATATATCTCTCAGTATACACACAGTC